AAGTCTTAATATCTTAAGTTGTATATTAATGGCAACTAACGTCGTAGTATCTTAAATTGCACATTAATGGCATAACAAATCTTAGTATCTTAAGTTGCACAATGATTGCGTATCACGTCTTAGTATCTTAAGTTGCACATTCATGGTATATCATGTCTTAGTATCTTTAGTTGCACATGCATGACAACTAACGTCGTAGTATCTTTAGTTGCAAATTCATGGTATATCAATTCTTAGTATCTTAAGTTGCACATTAATGGCAATTATCGTCGTAGAAAATTTAGTTGCACATTAAGGGTATATAACGTCTTAGTATCTTAAGTTGCACAATAATGGCAACTAACGTCGTAGTATCTTTAGTTGCACATTAATGGCATATCACGTCTTAGCATCTTTAGTTGCTCATTAATGGCAACTAACGTCGTATTATCTTAAGATGCACATTAATGACACATCAAGTCTTAGTAACTTTAGTTGCACATTGATGGCATATCCTGTCTTAGTTTCTTAAGTTGCACATTAATGGCAACTAACATTTTAGTATCTTTAGTTGCACATTCATGGTATATCACGCCTTTGTATCTTAAGTTGCACATTCATGGTATATCACGTCTAAGTATATTTAGTTGCACATTCATGGCAACTAACGTTTAAGTATTTTTAGGTTGCACATTCATGGTATATCACGCCTTTGTATCTTAAGTTGCACATTCATGGTATATCACGTCTAAGTATATTTAGTTGCACATTCATGGCAACTAACGTTTAAGTATTTTTAGGTTGCACATTCATGGTATATCACGTTTTGTATCTTAAGTTGCACATTCATGGTATATCACGTCTAAGTATCTTTAGTTGCACATTAATGGCAACTAACGTTTTAGTATCTTTAGTTGCACATTCATGGTATATCACGTTTTGTATCTTAAGTTGTACATTCATGGTATATCAAGTCTTAGTATCTTAAGTTGCAAATTAATGGAAACTAACCTCGTAGTATCTTTAGTTGCACATTAATGGTATATCACGTCTTAGTATCTGAAGTTGCACATTAATGGCAACTAACGTCGTAGTATTTGAAGTTGCACATTCATGGTATATCAAGTCTTAGTATCTTAAGTTGCACATTAATGATCTATCAAGTCTTAGTATCTTAAGTTGCACATAAATGTTATATTACGTCTTAATATCTTAAGTTGCACATTAATGGCAACTAACGTCGTATTATCTTTAGTTGCAAATTAATGGCATATCACGTCTTAGAATATTTAGTTGCACATTGATGGCATATCACGTCTTAGTATCTTAAGTTGCACATTAATGGCAACTAACGTCGTAGTATCTGAAGTTGCACATTAATGGCATATCAAATCTTAGTATCTTTAGTTGTACAATGATGGCATATCACGTCTTAGTATCTAAAGTTGCACATTCATGGTATATCACGTCTTAGTATCTTTAGTTCCACATGCATGGCAACTAACGTCGTTGTATCTTTAGTTGCCCATTAATAGTATATGACGTCTTAGTATCTTAAGTTGCACATTCATGGTTTATCAAGTCTTTGTGTTTTAAGTTGCACATTCATGGTATATCATGTCTTAGTATCTTAAGTTGCACATTAATGGGAACTTACCTCTTAGTATCTTTAGTTGCATATTAATAGTATATCAAGTCTTAGTATCTGAATTTGCACATTAATGGCAACTAACGTCGTAGTATCTGAAGTTGCACATTCATGGTATATCACGTCTTAGTTTTTTAAGTTGCACATTAATGGCAACTAACGTCGTTGTATCTTCAATAGCACATTAATGGCATATCTTAAGTTGCACATTAATAGTATATGACGTCTTAGTATCTTAAGTTGCACATTAATGTTATATTACGTCTTAGTACCTTAAGTTGCACATTAATGACAACTAAAATCATAGTATCTTTAGTTGCCCATTAAATGGTATATCACGTCTCAGTATCGTGAAGTTGATATTCATGGTTATATCAAGTCCTAGTATCTTTAGTTTGGTACATTAAGGGTAAAATAATGTCTTAGTATCTTTAGTTGCACATTAATGGCAACTTACGTCGTTGTATCTTCAATTGTTCATTAATGGCATATCAAGGCTTAATATCTAAAGTTGCACATTAATGTCAACTAACGTCGTATTATCTTAAGTTGCACATTAATGGCATATCACATCTAAGTATCTTTTGTTGCACATTAATGGTATATCACGTCTTAGTATCTTAAGTTGCATATTAATGGCAACTAACGTCGTAGTATCTTAAGTTGCATATTAATGGCATATCACATCTTAGTATCTGAAGTTGCACATTGACGGCATATCACGTCTTAGTATCTTAAGTTGCACATTAATGGCAACTAACGTCTTAGTATCTAAAGTTACATATAAATGGCATATCACATCTAATTATCTTTGGTTGCACATGAAAGGTATATCATTTCTTTTTTATTTTAAATTTTGCACATTTCATGATATTTTCAAGCCCTAGAAATCTTAAATTGCAAAATTAAGGGCAAAATCACGCCCTTTAGTATCTTAATTTTGCACTTTTCAGTATTTTTAAACTTTCTTAGTTTCTCAAGTTTGCACTTAATGATATCAAGTTTTTAGTATCTTAATTTTGCCATTTAAAATGGAAACTCCCGTCTTTAGTTTTTTTAAGTTACACTTTAAATTTGTATATCACGTTTTAAAGTATTTTTAAGTTGCCCTTTAAATGGAAACAAAACTTTTCGTAGAAATCTTAAGTTGTATATCTTTTTAAAATTTAATTTTTTATCATTTCACCCTATTGTTGCTTTTAAAAGGGAAATATTTTTTGGGTTAAAAATTTTAAAATAAGCACCGGGCAAGTACAAAAAACCGAAATAAAGCTATCTTGGATATTTAGGGCCCCATAACTTTAAGGGAACTTTAAATTAACAACAAAAAAAAACCTGAGTTAGGGTAATTAAGACATTATGCATAATAATTATCTCATACGGTTAGGTTATATGGATATATAGATGGGCATTCTCTCATCTCTTGACTCAAGGCATATGGCTTGGTTGATAATTCTATTGATAATTTGATATTTCTATTTAACCGTTAAAAGGAGACACAGGCAAAATTTTAATTTCTTCGTTTTGAATTTTTATTTATTATTCTGTAAATGTCCTCAATATGAATACAATAGGCAGACACAGGAACAAAACTTATAAAAATGAAATGGTTGTTTCCTAACTTGACCCACATGGGTCAGATTGGAGCGTAAAGATTTCATAAAACAGTTTTCACAGTGAACTATGGAAGCAATATTTCTTATTGTAACTTCCAGGGTTTGTTCAAGTCGCATGACTAGTTTTAAAATTATTCGGTGATTCTGTCGGCGTCTAAATTTCGTTCAACAATATATAGATATTTTTTACGTTTCAACCCCCAAAATATGGCTTTAAAAAGGGAAATTCATGCGGGGGACTTTTAAAAATTACATTTTAGCGTGTTTTTGAGTACAAAAGAAAATTTTATAATTTTGCCCCTTTTTTTTTGGGGTGTCCTTTTAAATTTAAATGTACTGTTTATCAAATTCAACCCCCAAAATACTTTTAAAATTAATGTTTCGTTTCATTGTCTTTAAATTTTACAAAAACCAGAAAAGTTAAATCAACTGTTTTTGGATTCCTTAAATTTCTTAGAAATTTTTAAATTGTATTTTTTTAATGGGGGGCTCGCCATGTTATTTTGTACACTTTAATTATTTAAAAAAATTCATAATGGGTATTTAAAAAAAGGGCCCCAAAAAAATTGGAAAACGTAAAAAATTTAATTTAACATACATCAAACGTTCGGCGTTCGGAGCCGTATAAGGGTTATGTTAAAAAAGTGAGTGGCCATGAATCATTTTATCTTTTTTATGTAAAAGATTTGAATACAGTAAACACAAAAATGATTTCACTGTGATAAGGATGATAGCACAGAGTTTAAGTTTGTCTTTTCGTCCGTGTATCAATGAAAAAAAATAATCATCTAAATGTTTCATGGCATGTAGTTGGCTAACACTTAAGAGTCAGTCTCTTGAATACAGAATACTTATGATTCCCCTACACCATGAAAGTATTTTTAGTTTCTACAGGAATTAAAGGCCCACTATGCTTTTACTTTTATTTCTCAAAACGTTTTATTGTTGGTTTACTATTATCGTTTACTTGGACAATTACCTGACCCATCTCTTGCTTTGCTGACCTTTGGGAATTAGTAAACATATAGCGATTTAGTATTTTGTATGGCAGTCAAAATACTACTTTGTTTACAGTTTACTACTTTAATGACAAAAATACTTTCACATTCAGCGCTACTTTTTTCATGTAAAAACGCTCTCTAAATCCATTGCATAAACGATGAAAAAACTCATGCATATTTTCCCTTTCTGCAGAAGGGAGTTTCTTTCCTGAGGTATAATGTGCCTTTAATTCAAACGTTGTTATTTCCTTCAGTGTAATGAAATTCATTTTACTACAGCAACCATATAGACTAATGTTTGCTACATCATAAAAATCAAAATTTGTTTAAAGAAATATCAACAGGCAGTTCTAGCCTAGTAGGTTGAACATCTGCCACTCTACCTGTTGATATTGCGTATAATACCTAAACGTGTCACGACCTTTATTTCTCATATGCCACAAGTACTGTTATGCTCGAAAAGTTGGAGTTGAAAATTTTTATTCACAGTGTTGATTATATGAATGTGTGGATTAATTGTGAATCATACTTCATACTCAATTCATTGTTGAATAAATAGAGGTATTAAATCATTTGTTTTGGTCAAAAAGTTCGTAATGAAGTTGAAAATGTCTACAATTAGTAAAATTGAATCATTTCATTTCGTTTCGTTTCATGTGTTTCATTTCAGTGCATCCGTTCAAAAATCAATTCCATAAATATATTTTCAGAATATAATTATATGCTCTGGTTTTGTTTTATTTTTAGATTATTACAAGCCAAACACGTGGTGATGACGAAAATTAAGATTTACGTGTTGCTATCGGTGTTAATCATATTAGCGCAAAGTGCTCATGGATTTCAATTACCAACTTACTTTTCAACGGAACTTGCAAGATATTCAAATATAAGTACAACAAGTACATGTACCGATGGTGGTCCAGAGAATTGCAATACTACCTGTCCGACAAGGACTAGCTTTCCTTCCTTTACGAAACCAATAAAATCGATATTTTCCAAATGCACTGTATACAATGGTTCACCGCCCACACACTCGGATATAGGCAATGGTGGGATCGAATTCAACTCTTCTACAACAAACTGTCCACTGCATGAGGAATATTATAAAGAAACTAATCAGCACTTTACTATAACTATGTGGGTCAAAGTATCAACTAGCACGTGAGTACACAATTATGTAATTGTTGCATTTTGACGGCATTTTTTTAAACTTATTTTAGTATATTTTGGTCACAGTAGATGTTGTTTCCACTGTGACATCATTATTTGAGGGGAAAAAACAATCGCATCTTTTCTGGCCTTTCCGTCATACTTCGGATAAGAAGTATTATGAATAAAAATAGCCGAGGATTTCCGATTGATAAAATACCAATATGGCGTCTCGCATATTGGAATACCTGATCCTATTTTCAAAAGTGTTTCAAATTGTTTATTAGATATACCTACATACGAAAGTCACATTTACAGTGCAGGATAGACACCCACGGGGAAGATCCTAGATAATGTTGGTATAACTTTTTATATGTACTTTGCATTTTGCTTAAGATAATGATGTTTAGATTGTGTAAATATATCATGTATAAAATATACGATAAAATATTATTAAACTAGATCGTGAACAATTACCAACATGTTGTCAGTTGTAAAAGTATTTTTGCAGTTTGATTAAGGAGTTAGGACAAAGGTATGACGGCCTTTTAGTATGCTATAATTTTACATTCAAATATAAATTTACCGGCATGCTCATTAGATTGGGTTTGCAAAGTTGTCAAATATTCCGAACGGTCTTTTTACTTATGTTAACGTGATTTTTGGAAGTGTAACATTGAAAGTCCCCGTTACAAATGTAAGAAAGTATAAGAAAATATATTTTAAAGAAGAAGTTTGCCTGATATATTTTTTCAAAGAAATCATCAAACATATATACAAAGATTGGTCTTTTTTATCTTCTGTTGAACTGACATAATTTTGGGTTGTTTTATATATATATTCTGACTTACTTCTTGTGTAAAAATATATACACAATTCTTTAATATGTAAATAATGATAATTTCAGGAATGTATTAAGCATTGGCAGTGGTCTCAATTTGAAATATGATAGAAATGCATTTGTCTTAAATACATCAAAACGAACAGTGTCGCCAGGATGGTATTTCATCACTTTGAGGGTAAAATGATCACTATTTACCTCCATTTAAAAAGAGTTACATTTCAATAAATGACATTCTGTTATCTTCTTTTTCTAAAAAAAACCCTAAAGAAACAAAAACAAAAAAACACAATTTATCATTTGTTTAGTTTAAAAGTGGCAATTTATAATCATGAACTGGCAACGTACGTTAATCACTTTGTAGTTCTTGCGTGCTTCAGACAACTGAAGAATTATGAATATGTCTAAAGTAGGGTTTGAAACTACGACACATGTGTTAAGAAATAGACACTTTTCAAACCAGCCACCGTTCCCATCAATCAATTTATTGTTTTGGCTTTAATTTAGAAAAAAACTAGTTTTGAATCTTTTGTATCTAAATTAAGCATTGTTTTGTTGTGCTTTCATATTATTTTTAATCTATTTAATTCATTTTGTCTTTCGTAGACATGTAAAGTGTTGTTAAAAACATTATAAGCATCTATTGGTGCATATGCCACATGGTTATAAAATAGCTTCTTTTCAATTCCATTCATTTAAATCTATTTTAAACGTTTGAACAAATATTATGTCTATTTTTTATTTCAGTTTAATGGCAAATTAAGTTGGTTTCTCAATGGTCAGCTGGTTGCGGATGGTCTTTCCTTTACCGCATCAACATCTTACAGTGTTAAACTCGGACCAGGACAAGGTGATAAATAATTCTTCGATTCGATTCATTTTTTGAAGTATTATATTTCATTAAAATTATAAATATGTAGTTTCTTAAATCTGTTTCATTAATGTAAGACACAATGTAATTATCCGTAGTAATCTATCAGATGTATTGTTGATGGACGTGTTCATTTACTTGGCGAATTCTATGCGATCACCGATATAATAGGAGCAGTGCATGCATCTCACGTATCCATGATTAGAAGTAAATTGTTTGCAATTTTTCACAGACACTTAGGTTTGGAGCTTAAAACGCCTTTAAAATTCAAATAAAATGTATAATTGTCAATCCCAGCACATGTACTGATCAGATATATCAAAATCTTAATATAAGCCGTTTTGAAAAAAAAAAATCATATTTCAACGTCTATAATAATACACAAGATAGAAATGTTCGCCGGAAGAAATCCGCACACCTTTTATTCCTTTGGTCCATCGACACAGAAGAGATGATGGTCAATTTTAAACTTCAACGGTAATATAAACGACGCAACACCCGAAATAAACACCAAGATTATCGCCGTTTTACTCCATTTTCAAAAGCTTTCGATACATTCAAACGTGGCTCCCCAGCTTTGCCGTGTGCAAAATGGGCTGCGCTTTAAAGATGGGAACCAGTCGGCTATTGGCGAGGCCATTCGGTAATATGTGCACGGAAAAGCTGGGGCCACGTTTGAATTTATCGAAAGATTCTTTAAATGGAGTAAAACGGCAATAATCTTGATGTTTATTTATATTTAAACTTGACATGTTGTTAGAATATGTTAACAGAAACATTTTAAGCGAAAAATAAATTATCTGCCCTTGAATTGGACTTTTTTGTTAAATTCAAGGGCAGATAATTTACAATGAAGGGATACTATACAGTTTTGTTTCTTATTTTCATGAAGCTTACCTTTGTTTTGTTTCAAGAACAAATTTAGAGTGGGTAGTTTTTATTCCCACTTCTTCTTTTAACCTGTGCATTCTTTCTTAAAAAATGGCATATTTTTTCAGAATTTAAAGTACCTTTATTATGCGCCCACTTCGAAGAAGAGGGGGTATATTGCTTTGCACTTGTCGGTCCGTCGGTCCGTTGGTCCGTCGGTCCGTAGACCAAATGGTTTCCGAGTGATAACTAAAAAACCCTTAGGCCTAGGAACTTCAAACTTGGTATGGTGATTGGTCATGACCAGAAGATGATCCCTATTGATTTTAAGGGTCAAGGGGTCAAAGGTCAAGGTCACATTGACCTTGTAAGCAAAAACGGTTTCCGATCAATAACTAAAGAACCCTTAGGCCTAGGAACTTCAAACTTGGTATGGTGATTGGTCATGATCAGTAGATGACCCCTATTGATTTTGGGGTCAAGGGGTCAAAGGTCAAGGTCACATTGACCTCTTAGGTCAAAACGGTTTCCGATCAATAACTAAAGAACCCTTAGGCCTAGGAAATTCAAACTTGCTGTGGTGATTGGTCATGACCAGCAGATGACCCCCATTGATTTTGGGGTTAAGGGGTCAAAGGTCAAGTGCACATTGATCTTGTAGGTAAAAACGGTTTCTGATCAATAACTAAAGAACCCCTAGGCCTAGGAACTTCAAACTTGCTGTGGTGATTGGTCATGACCAGCAGATGATCCCTATTGATTTTGGGGTAAAGGGGTCAAAAGTCAAGGTCACATTGACCTTGTAGGTAAAAACAGTTTCCGATCAATAACTTAAGAACCCTTAGGCCTAGGAACTTCAAACTTGGTATGGTGATTGGTCATGATCAGTAGATAACCCCTATTGATTTTGGGGTCAAGGGGTCAAAGGTCAAGGTCACATTGACCTCTTAGGTAAAAACGGTTTCCGATCAATAACAAAAGAACGCTTAGGCCTAGGACCTTCAAACTTTGTATGATGATTGGTTGTGACCAGCAGATGACCCCCATTGATCTTTGGGTCAAGGGGTCAAAGGTCAAGCTCACATTGACCTCTTAGTTAAAAACGGTTTCTGATCAATAACTTAAGAACGCTTAGGCCTAGGAACTTCAAACTTGGTATGGTGATTGGTCATGACCAGCAGATGACCCCTAATGATTTTGGGTCAAAGATCAAGGTCACATTGACCTTGTAGGTAAAAACGGTTTCCAATCAATAACTAAAGAACGCTTAGGCCTAGAAACTTCAAACTTGATATGATGATTGGTCATGGCCAGCAGATGACCCCTATTGATTTTGGGGTCAAGGGGTCCAAGGTCAAGGTCACATTGACCTTGTAGGTAAAAACAGTTTCTGACCAATAACTAAAGAACGCTTAGGCCTAGAAACTGAAAACTTGGCATGATGATTGGTCATGACCAGTAGATGACCCCTATAGATTTTGGGGTCAAGGGGTCAATGTCATATTGACCTTGTACTTAATGACGGTTTCTGACCAATTACTCAACAACTCAAGTTGCCTTTGTTGATATTTTTATATTAAACTAAAAATGCTTTTGGTATACACATTTAAAGGTTTGATGTAATATAACAACTTGGCTGTCATTAATGAGGCCTACATGATTCATAAAATTTATGCATATATTATTTGGTAAGATTTGTAATAACTTAAATTGCTGCACACAACCTATGGGGTCACAATAATTATTACCTTGTGATTAGTCATGACCAGTAGATACTAGATAAACCTTATTTATTGTTTGTTCACTGGGTCAGAAGTCATGCATAATAACATGATCATATGACTAATTGGCTGCTGATAGGGGGCATACATGTTTTACAAACATATCTATTTTTTATTGAAAAAAATAACAGAAACGATGTAAGGAATTGCATGTTATTATGTATTGTACTCAGCAATAAAAAGAAAAACATAATCCAGAAGTAAAAACAAGAATTCAGTTAAATATGTATATTAAATTATCTGCCTTTGAAATGACCTCAAATATGTAGAAATGTATGATTCAGGAGCAGATAACTCAAAAACGAGAACGGTGACCCCAATTTTTATTCACTTAAAATGTTACTGTTATCATATTCTAACAACATGCCAAGTTTAAAGAAATTATATAGAACAGTTTTAATTTTGCCTATATATCTATATGAAAACTCCCGAAAACGTCCTTAACATTACTTTTACTTTTTCAGTTTTGACATCATCCTTAATTTTAGTAGACGTTCGCTGGTACTCGGATGTAATTACAGATAGGTAATCCTAAAAATTGTTTTTGTTATTGTATTTTTTGCCTTTTTATTTCTTGCTGACATTTCTTTGGTTTTCGAAAAGCTTTGTAATAATATTAAACGATATCATAGCGATCAATAGGTGCATAGGGTGGTGTTTTATTAAAGTTCTGCCATTTATAGTAACAGTGTTAATATTGGGCTAACTTCGTTATTCTAATATGTAACCGTTAAAATATATTAAGATATGATTTATTCTTTGTTAAATACTAGAAACTGTACAGTTAATTCGTAAAAAATAGATTATGTTCTGTTCTCTGTTCTACTTTTATAGATGCATATTTTTACTTGACGATAAAACAACATTAGTTTTACTATGAAATGCATATGTGTCTTCTTTTTTCAGAGAAATTGAATACCTAAACAAAGGGCTAGACGACAATGATTTTTGCAGGTAATAATTCTCTATATCTTTGTAGCTGTGATATTGTCCATGTGATATAGGTCATGTGATATAGGTCATGTGACATTGCCCATGTGATATAGGCCATTTACAGCCTCGACATTGTCCATGTAATATAGGCTATGTACAGCACTGTGATATGTCCATGTGATATAGGCCATACAGCTTTGACATTGTCCATGTGATATAGGCAATTTTCAGCTGTGATATTGTCCATGTACAATAGGCCATGTACAGCTGTGACATTGTTCATGTGATGCAGACCATGTACAGCTGTGACATTGTCAATGTGATAAAGGCCATGTATGGATGTGACATTGTCCATGTGACATAGGCGATTTGACATTGTCCATGTGATATAAGCTATGTACAGCTGTGACATTGTCAATATAATATAAGTCATGTACAGGTGAGACATTGTCCATGTGATATACGTCATGTACAGGTTTGGCATTGTCCATGTGATGTAGACCATGTACAGCTGTGACATTGCCCATGTGATATAGACCATGTACAGCTGTGAATGTCTTGATACTGAAGTGGCTATTTGCACTTTCTTCTTGGTCTTGATTTAGTTTCCTTGTTTTATTCTTCATATTACTCTTATATTCCAACTTTTAACTAATTTTGTTATTAGAAGTTAGTTTATTAATAAATATTTACAACATTTTAAAAACCAGGTTATGTATTTGATATTTACATTTGCTGTCTTTTGTTATGGCTTATGATTTTTAGTGACAATTAAATCTCCAATTAAAAATATCGCTATATTGAAAGAAATGAAAGAAAAGATTTATAAACAACCAGTGATGTGTTTTGTCCTTTTAATTGTTGTTTCCTTCGTTTCCCTCGCTCTTTTTCCTTTAAGTTTTCTTTAATACTCAAACAAAAGTTTACTCAAGAATTCAAAATGATAAATCGTGGGATTGTAAAAATGTACAGACTCAATAAAACAGGGTCTACAATTTTCATGTTAAATTGTTGTTATTAATGCTCCCGTGAAGGGATCACCCAACTTAACTTAATAAAGTTTTTTTTTAATTCAGATGCCCACCAACACACCCTAAAGTCGTGAAAGATATCCTTCCAGTCAAGAACATGAAGTGCACCGATGGAAGCTCGGAGGTCTTGCGTCTTGGTGAAAACGCTCATAATCCTGAATACATGGCTGATGCCAACGCAACAACCAAGTGGGTGTCTGGCACCGTTAATGAAGTCAATATAACTCTAACATTGAAGACACAGTTTCAGGTAAACATCAAAAGACTCATATTGTCACCTAAGTGCAGATGTATATACTCTTTATAAAGTTTTATAGGAGTTAATGCCCTAAGGTGACGATATATATAAAATATGCATTTATGAAGTTTATAATGACATGCTTGCAAAACACACCTTATTACTTATTAGATGTTTAAAAGGAAAATTGGGCTTTACCAAAACTAATCCCCTAATTATAATACCCTTTACCCTTAAAGTTTCACGGGGGCCCCCTCATAAAAGGGTTGTATTTCCCGTTTCCCCTTTTTTTTAAAAAAGAAATGTTTTTATTAAAGTTGTTTGATTTCCCTGGATTACGGGAAACCAAATTTAAGTATTTTTTAATGAAAATTTAAAAATAAAATACAAATTTTTTTTATTTCTCTTTTTGAAAAAATTATACTGGCATTTACCCAATTTGCAACGTTTACCAATACCCTTTTTCTTAATGTTTTCAAGTTTTTATAAAAAAAAGATTTGCATTTCTGACAAATTTTTAAGAAGCAGTCCTTTTGTTTCAAATGATTAATAATATGAGGTTATATAACATTTTTGAGTACAATAACAAATTCTGTTTGACGAGTACACAGCTTTATAAACAATATTGGACGAAGCATAGTCTGATATAGGTTTTACACCTGTATACAAGTCAAATAGAATCAGTATTGTTCTCAACAATATAAAATGATCTCTTTTTACATCTCCATTTTTGACAGTACTATTACTTCAGTTACAAAAGGGATATGATATAGATTTTTAGACTATCGTAAATGTAACTGAGACTGGATGGAGTATGATATGGATTCGATATAGATATTTTGGACTCTGAAAAATAAAAATGAGCCTTATGAGGTCCGATTTGAATTTGATATAGAATTTTTGGTCTTTAGAAATGAAAATGAGGCTAGATGGTGTGTGATATGGATTTGATATAGGCATTTTGGACTCTGGAAATAAAAAACGAGGCTAAATTGATAAGAATGGAACCAATAATGATTTCTTTTGGAACATCACGTGGTGAAAACTCTGAAAGTTTATAAGTTATATTTTATAAGGTTTGAATAAAGCTATGGATATCAATTTATTCTTATATTCCAGATCAAACGTTTATCGCTCATTGGAATAGCGAAGCCACCAGCAAGTTTAAATGCCATCCTTCTCTTAAATAATGCCGAGGTTCAAGCTATCAGATTAACGTAAGATATGAAATTTATTACGAAATTATAAACCATCACAGTATTATCAAATATATAGTCTAAAGTAGTCCTAGACTAAAACACGCATGGTGTTGTGATTAGTTAATACAAATTTTTATTTGAAGTCATCTGGGTAACACTCTTTTTAAATGTTACAAACGGGCGGTTAGACTAGTTTCGCATTCAAGGTTTTTGGTAACTGCGCCGTATGAGTACATCTGCTGAAGTTTCTTAATTCACAGTTTCACCATTTTGATGTTAAAATGTTCAATTCTGCTAACGCCGGTGCTAGGGGCGAGAATGATAGCTTACATGTACCTCTACCATTCATGAACAGGCTCAATCAACCCGAGCCTGCAACATTTTATATTTTTACTTCAGGGATACCGTTTTTCTCTGTTTTACTTGTTATTTGTGGTCTGTCAAGAAACTAGAACTCCGCGAGTCGGATGTGTCGCCTTGTGAACAATATAGTTAAGGAGAAATGGCCAGGATAAAAATGAAATATAAAAATAAACAAAGCGCCATAACTCAAAAAATAAGCTCAAAGCAGAAGTTTCTGTGCACTGCACTTCTTATCAATAAGATCTATCATCCTATGAAGTTTCAAGTCTATAGCTTTTATAATTTATGAGAAATGGCCTGGATAAAAATAAAGTATGAAAATTAATAAAGGGTAATAACTCAAAAATAAGAAATGCAGAGTACCGGTTCATGTACACTGCACTTTTTCTTAATGAGATCTATCATCCTATGAAGTTTAAATACCATAGCTTTTATACTTTAGGAGAAATGGCCCGGACAAAAATAAAGTATGAAAATTAACAAAGGGTAATTACTTAAAAAATTAAGAAGTGCAGAGTACCCGTTCTTGTGCACTACACTTCAGGTCATTATAAGAAGCATGATACCATAAATTTAAGTCAATTCGAATTATAATGACTTGACTTATGCTCCGGACAAGCTTTAGGGGACGCCGACGCCGACGCCCGAAACGACGCTGCGATAACGAACCGCCGCATAAATAACCCCTAAAAAAATATGGTCGCCTTTTTCAAGGCGACAAAAAAAAATCTTTTATTATCATTGTCTACATGGTTGTTCTTTTGCAGTTTTTTAACTGTATTGTCTTATTGTAACATGTAATTCATTTTAAAACGCGACCTTTTTTCTTCGGCTCGGAATCTTTGAAATTCTTATGTACTTTTTAAACCATTGCATTTGGTGAAAAAAGATAAACGCGTTTAGCTAGGCAAAATTAGTTTGTACATTTCAAAATGATGCCTATTTACGCTCCCTTTCCTATTTCTAGTCACTAGTTCCAACAACAAATGCAAATGTTTTAATTAAATCTTATGGTTCTCTCACATCTAACAAACAATCAGAACAATAATGTAACGGACAGCTTTTTCTTAATGGTATTTATAAGCACGAAATAACTCAATACCCATTTTCAATAGCATTTAGGGAGCATGGGAAAATTATCAGAACGATAAACCTTTCATGTTTTCAAACTTAATACCTAAATGAACATGTAGATCGATGACAGCTCTGGTTGATTCCTTCTTCTGTCTATAAAGTACTTCAACTATGCGGTCGATAGGATATATCCGGAGATTTGGAATGATTGTCACTCATTTTATTACAGTGTTCCTATATTTATCTGGGCCTTTGCGGTTTGTCAGATCTTAAAATTGACTTGTTCTTAAAATGGTCCGGTTTTGGGCACAATTATTTCTGCAGCCTTCGGATTACAAAACATATTCTTAAAGTTCGTAGAATTTTAAACAATTCATTTCGTGGTCATATACAAGTATAGGGAAAAAAACAAGTCATGTTTCAATACTTAGGATATTTTAAGCAGTCGGGGTTTTAAGATCTGTCATAAACACTTTTTTTTTATAAAATTTTCCAATAATATTATACATGTTTGCATTGTGCTGGTATTGATGTTTCGCTTTCTAAAGGAATGGTTGACCTCGCGAGATGTCATTCTTCACAAAGTGAAAGTGTGTTTCATCATTACCGCGATAGAAATTACTGTCTTTGGTTGTCCTTGGTCGAGTGAGTAATATCGTTGTTTTCAAACCACTTGACTCGTACCACTGTGGGTTTTACTTCCGCAAAGGAAATTATTTTAAGACATACTGCATGCTTAGTGTTCAACCGTTTCACAGTTGGACACTACGCTTTCCTTTTTTGATAACATCTGACGAACCAAGTGGGAGAGACAGTTCTTAAAGCCCTTTGGGACTGAATTGTCTTAATGTTCGTCTTCTGCCTTGCTTCGTCGGACCCTTTTAGGTGATTTTCTTGCTGCTCTGTGTTCCTTTAGGGCATTGAGTACTCTTGTTATGGTCATTGGGTTTACGTTTATATGTTTCTACCTGATCATTTTGGTGCTTTACTTTTTTAACCTTTTGTAACCATAACAACTGTTAGAATTGCACTTGGCGGGGATTCATTTTATTTACACTGTCTCGTTTATAGGAACATGGTGGGGCTAAGAGTGGGGTTTGGTGCACCAGTACTTGTGCTGCTGACCGTTCCAAGGCGGCGCCCCACTGTGTTCCTCAGATGTATGTCTTATGTTGTTTCATACTGTTTTGATGACACTTTTGCTTGTGTCCCTTGTTGTTTTCTCGTCTACGGTAGGTATCTCCCCCTTGCTCCTAGTTTTAATTATTTAATTTTACGCCCCCCCCCCCTTCCCCGGGTTTCCGGTCCCCTTCCCCTGTGCACTTTGACTTTATGGGCGGCCTATTATTCAATCATTTATTTTTCTTTGAACTCCTTATCAGTTTCAAAATATTTCCTATTATTCAATCATTTATTGTTTTCTTTGAATTCCTTATCAGTTACAAATTATCATTTTAGTGATTGGTATGTCTTGTGCCCTGTCCTGTTTTTTGTTTGGGGTCCGCCTGGGCTCCTTGCTGCCGGTTATTGTTGCTGGATCGTATGGGGGTTGCGTTCATTGAAAGCCGCTTTTCCTTGTTGATCTTATCATATTTTACCTCTTACTAAGGACCTATGTCTATCAGATGTTAAGGTATAGCTACTTATCAAGCAATTACTTTGTTTCTAAGTGCGATTCTTTTTCTTTTGGTAATTATTCAAAGAAACAGTATGATTTTATATGGCATAATATGTTATCTATAAACAATGTCATGAATTGCACAAGTGAGAAAGGTAGGGAATGGCAAAGGTCTGGACCGAAAGAAAGAAGCTTTACTTTTCATTCTGATCTTGGGCGGGATTCAAGGTGGAAAATATAGAAGCCTTTAAAAATATACATAGAAATTTACTTTTGCCTTGCTGTATCAAAAATGGTGTAAATGTTGAAATCCTGAAGTTCCCATCTTATTAAATAGGTATAATAACTGTTCACCTATTTTTTTAACATATAGGTATTTTGGAGAACATATAGGCCAGCACATTGGTTGAGCTTGTGGAATGGTGTTCCTGTATTCTCGGGTTGAATTCAGGCCAGGCTTTCACATTTTTCATACACTGTGACACCATGTTTGCATTGCCAACCCTGAATTAAGCAAACTAACAGCCGTCAAAGTTCATATGTTACAATCTTTTCTTCTTCTTTTTTGTTTGCTTGTTTGTTTGTTTGTTGTTTTTGTTTTTCTCTTTGTTCCCAAGGCCGATTTAACACATTTTTGTTCATGTCTTTTTGCAGTCGGTCTATCTCTTTCCTTAATAACTTACGAGTACAAAAATGTAATTATCAATTTTTGGAACGACATTTTTTGTAGATAATTACTAGTATTGTAATTTCAGTGTGACTGGTGGAAAAGTTTCGTATGACTTTGAGGAAGGATCAATCACTAGTAGAACACAATACCAAAAGTTCATAGCTAACAAAGTTATTGTCCAGGCTAAATTCAGTACTAATGACTACCTTACTGTAAGTGAACTAACGCTCGAAGCTAGGTAAGTACCTCGGTTAATTTAGATTATTTACATGATTAACAAAAAAAACTAAATATTTGGGTCAGTGTTTTAGAATTTTGAGAGATTTCAATCGCTACAGACAAAATATGGCTTCTTACAATTTAGAGCCTGGTTAATCTGGAGGCTGCATGATAGCCCGGCACTATATTGGTGACAAGAAGGCTATTACGATGAAAGGTTAGGCTCTAGCAGGTTAAGGGTTGACGGAAATCCCACCAGACAATTCTCGCCGGACGTATTGTTCATTATTTTTAAATAATGTACTTTTTAAAAAAATATCTTATCTAAATATCATTTCAAAGAATATCTATTGCGAAGTGTTGCATTTCATAATTCTGGTAAATGTGTAATATTTAGTTTGAAAGTTTTAATTTTTATAATATTCTTAGATAATTTTCTGAGTTAACATCTTATTTTCATTTTTTGCTTTTTTTTTAGTTTTTGTCTGAAAAAGACTTGCAAATTAACAATATGTATAATTATTTTGTACAATGAATGAATGATTGAAGCAAGTTTTACGTCTTGAAAAATATGTGTATTGTTCAGATGTAGTTGTTATGGTAACGATAATGCGTGCAGGATTGTCAAAGATGGTTACACGTGTAGTTGTTTATCGTCCTCTAACACCAATGGGACACATTGTCATGCATGTGGAACCGGCTACTTTCGCAGTGCTGAGCAATTTGTCTGTAACAACCCATGTGGCTGCAACATGACCGGAAGTATTGACACTCAGTGTTTGGAGGTAACCATTCTTTTATTAATTCCATCATCTCGGCCCTTTCCGTCAAACTTAAGACGGATAAGAACCTCGAACACAAAAGTAAGAATACACAGAACGGATACAGTATTTTGGTCTAAGCTACGCTAAAAAACTAAACATGTAATCAAATATTAATTTAATACTAGAAGTTGATGACTTAATTTATACCGTGTGCGTGTAATAAGGTTGGAAAGGTGGAAAAGTACATATGTGGGCCTCCAGGGCCTCACTAGGTTGTTTTCAAATAAACATAAAAGCATGAGAAAGTTTCTGTCATAAACTTTACGACAGCAGCAAACGGCCATTTTTTATTCCCACCGCTTCTGCGATGAAATTTCCACCGCCCGCTTCGATGGACCCAACGCTTCCCTGCGAAAAGCTATGACAGTTTCATTATTATGTTTTTGGTTTACAATAAATCATTTTACTTTTTCTTCGTAATTTAGTGTTATCGTGATAATTTTTTACAATTTTAACAGTCCCGTTCAAAAATTGGTTTGCGTTAATATATTTTATTTTAAATAATCTAACTTTGTTCTTAGTTGTATTATTCTTTTTATTTTTCTTCATATGTATGATACATTATCGGCAAAAATTATATTAATATAGACATAATATTAGTTTATTACATGTTGGCGATTTTACAGACAATCAAGTTATAGAAGGGAAAGAACCGGTCGCTTTACATGCACATTTGATTAACGACATAAATTTTCAGTTGTTATTTTTTCTTGTTGGTATTTTTTCGGTTTCTATAGGGGATATATTTCAATTTATTTGTGTATTTTTATGTAAATGCATTTTACTTGATATTCTTACTAGGTTAAATCGTGTTAAAAATAATTAGGGCATATTGAAAAAACCATTTATTAAATATGAAGACTTTAAAAAATTAAAATTCCATTTTTTACATATACACATTTAAAAGATTATAATGATATGCCACTATTTACAAGGGACGTTGATCGTTTCCACAAATTATTATTCTAGTTTAATGAGGATGATTTAAGGTTTTAAGGCATTCTGCTTACTTTATAGGCGGGGCTTAGTATGCTAAGTGGGTTTTATCCCATGATTCAAATTATCGAAAAATTTTTTCAGTATATCTTTACAATAAATATTTTATACAATATATATTTTCAAATATGGAACATACATATAGAAAATTATCGTACACAAATATTTTTATGATGAACAAATATTCAGCAGGATTGAATAAATATTATGGTATAGAATATAAAATAAGAGTTATACAATATAAATATTGGCTATAGAACAAAAATTTAATTTACATTTAACCTGCCATATTAAATATACAATGTATATATCCACCATTTTCTGTTGTATAATTCATTCACTATAATAATGTTTTTGAAACAAGATAATTGTAATCATAATATCCCTATTCTTTAAACAATTTAATTACGTACGGTTGTTTCTTTCTCGTTACTATTAATCTTCATTCAAAAGACTCTTTAAAATCAGGGGGTTACAATTTATTAAAATAGTTCATGAAACAGAAACACTTCTAATTACTTTTAATCGACTGTCAATCTTTTAATTGACATGAACTACTACAAAGTTTGAAACATTAGAATGAAAATGTCGCTCAACTCGGAAAAATTTGAAAATTTTTCAGGTTGATTAAACTAAACCTGGTATGGAAAAATCTAAACAAATTTTCCTGTTCCCCGAATGCAGAAGGGACAATTAAATTTTAAAATGAAAAATTTTAAATTAATTTTAGAAAAGGTTAAAACAATGATTTTTTATGGGTTTTAAAGTCAAGTCGCCGGAAGAAAAATTTTTGTAAATTTTTATAAAAAAAGAAAAACAGTTTAAAGGGTTAATATAAAAAAAAGAGGAAAAAAGGGTAAGTTTTTTTATAAAAGGTTTTAAGTTTTGCCACAAATTTTTTTTTGGTATAAAAATTTTTTAAAAGAGTTTTTTTAAAAATTTTTTGATTTTTAAAAAAACCCTATTTTAACCCAAAATTTTTTCAAGAAAAAGAATGTTTTTCAAATTTTTAATTAAGGGGAGTTTGTTTGGGAATTTTTTTCCCCAGACCCCTTTAATTTTCAAAGGGGGTTTTGTTTGTTTTTATAACTTATTATCGATTAATGTTAACTATTTTATTGTTAGTATAAATTACATGTATTATCAATTTAATACTGCTCGAGGCCTAGTTTGTAATATGACGAAGTTTTAACCTAGTGGCGCAAGTTCGAATCTTGGGACAAATTCGTGTTTTGTAATTTTCATAAATTTGATTTTTATTATATTCTTTTTTAAATTTGATGAAACTAATTGGTTTAAATCTGTTTTCTTTCAGGCACTTTTTTATTTCATAATTTTGATAAATGGTCAAGTTTAAATTGCAAATAAAAAAAATATTAAAAGAAAACATAAAAAAATTTCACGTTATAAACATACAATCTTAATTTGAAACTAACGGATAAATATACACCTTGTCAATCAAGGGTTGTAAAGCAAGTGATTATGGTTTTAAATTCTACTGTAATTTTCTACTTTATACATATACTGTTGTACCATACAAAATATTACATTGAAATCCGGAATCCGATAATTACCGATCATCGATATTTGCAAAGTGACTATAAAAATATATATGCTTAATTATTGCATAAAACAGTGCAATTCTACTGTAAAAATGGTGTCTGCATAAAAAATTATTCTTATCGAAAAAATATATAATTTAGTTGAAATCAATATTCTCTTCATTCCATTGCGATAAACTATCAACAAAAAGATAGTTCATTAGTTTTCTCTGTATATCCAATACGATTCCAGCCCCATACCGTCATACCGAGATTTTGTAATTATTCATACAAAATTACTTTGATTTGCACTTTATCAGCTTCTATACCTTATGTGTCTGTCTAATATGTCTGTCTTATCAGCCATTTGTTACTAGAAATAGATTTTATAACAATAACATACAATGTATAGTCACGTGATTCTTACAAAGAAACAAGGAGAAATAGTTTATAACTAAATGAAATAATAAAATAGAATAGGTCTCATAAGATATAAACACACAAATAATTTAAAGTGTCATTTCAAATATCATGCATGATATTTTTATCATAAAATAGCAACGCTTGACACTTTGAAATAAGTAAAAGTATCCCTAAATTCAATGACTTATCCATAGGGATACATCAAAAATTCATTTTATAAAAATTGTAATGTTGCTTTTTAAGATGTCAATATTTGAATATTTCATTTCATTGAGCAACGTTACTGTACGTTTGAATTTTTGAGATTACTGAAAACCGTATTGTAGTCTTTAATCGTTCAGTAATTGATATGCTTTTATTTACAGATTTTAAGGCCTTCTCCTACCATAGGTATAATATTAAACTATTACAAATATACCGGTTTCTACCGGGACTAATAATATGATTTTCATTACTGAGTAGATCTGTCCCTAAATAGATTATAAAAATATTTTGTTAACAGGTAGATGGGCAATGCACCTGTCACAGCAACATTGAAGGTAAACAATGTTCCGTCTGCAAGCACAATACCGTGAACTTTTCTGATAGCGGATGTACAGCATGCCAATGTAACCCTGACGGCATCACTAGCTGTAGTGATGATCTAACCTGTAACTGTAAACAAAACGTAGACATTACGTCTGGTAAATGTGACAAATGTCTGCCTAACTATTATAATATATCTAGTCCTTCCGGTTGTGCTGCCTGCGAATGTGATCCATCCGGCACCAGGCTCACGGAGCCTTACTGTGAAAGTGGCAAAGGCAATTGCGATTGTAGAGCTAATGTAGAAGGTTGTTGCATGCTTTTTATTATTTACCACTTTGTTTTATTTACCACATATCATTTTTATGTCATATTCTTAATGATAGATCCCTACTGTGGCCTTTCTTTTGAATAACAATAGATTTATCTACAAACAGTGACATGTGCTCTTTTGTTAACAAATAGGTTGTGGTGAAAACTAATCTGATCATTAAAATTGGTAAAATCAGGGATCTATGCATTGTATTCAGTATTTACAAAAGTAACAGATATACTAAAACCCGTGACGCCCGTGACGTTCGTGACGGCATCATCACGGAAAATATAATTTACTGTCACGGGTTATGTCACGGGTTTTGTTATTTTGTTAAGTTAGATTATTTATTTAAATATAAGATACTAAGGATTTTATTTGATTTGATGAAAGATCACAACTTTATATTACAATAACGTCACGTGATTGACTTAGTAACGACGTCAGTAAAGATGGTAGAAACATAGAATTAAATGTCATTGAGTACAGACCAGATTTTACGTCTTATACGGTCTGAACCGCCGATATCGGCGCTTCCTTTTAGACCAAGAGGTGGCGAAACGTGGATTTTAAAGGGGACGGTCTAAAAGCACAGGATTGGCGAGCTGACGGATATCGTTGGATAAACCAAGGCACTGTGGGTCTTCCACGCAAAAACCCGCGGTTAAAAAAAATATACATACCGAGAATGGTGCATCAAAAGAATTTGTTAAATTTGTTTACCATGAACCTGAATGCATTAACGGTCCTTTTGTAATTCAGTACATCGGCAATGAACAAATCTCACAGCCGATGTCCCATGGAAATTCAAAAAACCAGGAACGCCCTTTTTTAAGATCAAAGCCAAGCAGTCTAGAAAAATGGCTAAATAAAACAAAATCGGAGGATCCAAATTTAGTTTATAAGAAAGAAATTCATGACAACGACGAACAGCCAAGGGACTTAAAACAAATCCAAAATCTGCGACATAAAGGAAACACAGAACTAAGAATATCTCGTGATGCCTTATACAATCTGCATGCTTTAGCTAGAGACACAAGCAATCAGTTCATTCAGGTAATCAATACTTTCCCAAATTTAGTTGTTATATGCGGACATAAACTTATGTTCGAAGAACTGGAAAGAGTTCTTTACCTTGACAATGAAAGTCAGTGCCTCAGCTATGACACCACTTTTCAACTTGGGGATTTCTATGTATCTACGCTGATATTTAGACGTATTCTTTTTAAGGAAATGCCATGCATGCCAGCAATATTTATGCTGCATGAGCGCAAATTCCAAAAACACCACGAATTATTGTTCAATTTTTTCAAAGAAAATATAAGACTTCCAAAAACGCTGTTTGTTTGTGTCACAGACGGTGAACAGGGGATCATGAATGCTATGTCTTGTGTTCCAACACTTGTTGATGTGAGATGTTGGAACCACATATTAAATGATATTGGAAGATGGCTGACTGAACATGGATTTTCCAACTCAGAAGTTCTAGCATACAAGGATCATATTCGATTTATATTTGGAACAGATTCCAGAGATGACAGTATGGCTGCATTTGCCGAATTAAATACAGCCTGGGAAGAACAATTGCGAAAGTATTTTGAAGAAAGAATATTACCTCAACTTGGGAAGGTTTCAAAATGGGCAATAGAAAAAATTACAAAGTACGACCCGGAGAATTGAAAAACCCGTGACAATACAGCCATCTCGGAAATTACAGTCACCCGTGACGGATGAAGTCGAAAAACCCGTGACGATTCAGTCGTCACGGAAATTAGATTCACCCGTGACAGTACCAACTCGGGACCATGAGGGAAAATCCGTGACGACTCAGCCGCCGGAAGAACCATCGTATACTATATATATTGAACAGGGTATTGAACCAGGAGAGCCAGTACAGTCCAACACATCGGTAAGTGGACCAGAATGGCAGCTTAAACTTAAGGACGAAGAAAAAAGTATCCTGTATTCACCAACAGAGTGGTTAAATGATCGGTTGATTGATGCGGCGATGTCTCTTCTAAAGACACGTGCTTTTGGAAATTTCATTCAGATCGTCAACAGAACGCCGGAACAGGGTGGGTCACATTGGCTGACATTATCCACTATGAAAACAAATAACAAGTCGGAAGTAAAAATTTATGATTCAGGTTTCACATCACTAAGTTTGTCTACCCAGCAAGTTATTTGCAATTTACTTAGAAAAGATACACCACCAAAAAAGAATGATAAAATATTGTTGAATTTTATGGACTGTGCAAGAACAATTAATTTAATTAATTAATTAACAAGAACAATTATTTTTAATAAGTTAATTAATTGTTCTTGTTCGTTATTAGTATGTATATCATAATGATAGTGATAAGTGTGAAACTTGTAATTAATAATTTAGCATAGCGTATTGAAACTATTACGTTATTTCAGGTAAAACGTGTAAAACATGCAAAGATGAATATTACGGATTGTCAGGTAACAAAACAGACGGGTGTGATGCTTGTGAGTGTAATATTGTAGGATCTGATTCGTTTATATGTGACAAAGATACTGGTCAATGTCCTTGTTTTGGTGAAAGCAATCATACACAAATTAATAACAGACAATGCGTAAGTTTCGTTGTTATAATTGCACAGTTTCACGAATTTCATGGCATGATTTCCCTGTACTGTTTTTTTTTCTTCTTTACTTTATTAAGCTAGCTTACGAACGTCGGTGGTTCCGCACCGGTACACGTTAGTGCCTAAATATATATTACACGGAGTAAAACTTGAGGCTTCCTTCCATCAGTAAAGCTTGAAAGTCGCCATATGACCTTTACAGTATCGGTGCCCCGTAAAGCATAACAACAATAAACAAAAGAGGGGTAATAGCAATTCGTTTTTATTCCAAACATAATGAGAGGTTTTGTACTGACACAGGAGTTGCGTTGCTTTCTTATCCCGAAAGCAAGCAATGCTGAGCTTAAATTACATCAATGTGAAGAATTAATTATAAGCCAGTAAGAAATGACAAAAGAATTATCAATCTTATTAACATATTGTATTTAATAAAAGCGCCGGAAAACACGTTGTTTTACAGACAATTTTTTTCATGTGCAATGAATGTTATATGAAGATTGAAATACAAGTGACATTAGAGCTACAATGTAAGCTACTACAAAGACTAATTAAACTATTTCAGATACCGACAGCGTTGAAACTGGAACCTTTGTTTGGACCAAAGGCTGGGTCAACATTGCTTACCCTCACTGGAACATTACTTGGTACAAACGCAGATGTAAAACTTACCATAGGTGGTGAAGAACAAACTGTTGTTGATAGGTAAAGTATATTTTGCTTTCACTTATAAGTCAAGTCACTTAAAAATCTACTCCGAGGCTCCTTTCCCGAATTATCGAGGACTGGTGTTACACGAGGACTCCCCAGTAAAGCTTACTCCAAATATCCCTGAGTTGATTAACATAGATGAAGAACACTTTTAGTTTACACATGTTTTATTTCAAACAGAATTTACCTACAATAATTAATAACACAATAAAATGCTTAAAAAAGGTTCAGAACACAAAGCATAAAATGCTTAAAAAGGCTATTGATAATGACTTTTAGTGTCTATCTCTTAACGGATATTCTTCCACAGCTTCATAATTATACTATATGAGTATGAGTATCTCCAGGAAATTTACATTTAGACAAAACCATGTCTTAATGTATCAGTCATATTTAGTAGTATTTCATCTTATTTTAGTAAGCATCTTGAATGTGTTCTTTTCTATAAGGAAAAAAGATAAGACAGTGATTTGTTTGGTATATATGTACAATTCTAAAGTAAAAAACCCCCAAACAAATGGTGTTTAAATAAGATATGAGTTAAACCTGAATGCCTCTAAATGAGCCAAAATATTTCAAGAAAATCGTGAGAAAAATGTACAAAGATTTTAAGATAGGTAAAAATATTTTAGATTAAGATGATTGAGGGGAAATCTGAAATATCTTTATAAAAGATTTAGATATAGATGGTGAAGATCAATAGGCAAGGCATGGGAAATTTGATCAGAATAGATAGATATGAATGGTCAATTATAGTTCTTTGTGTACCAATCTCCGGCTAAGTAATAAATTGGCCGATAATCAATTTTGTATATTTCTTCTTTGCTTCAGGAATCTTACTTCCATAGTATTCAGAACAAAGGAAAGTACAGAAATAGAAAATAAACCAATCAGATTAGTCTGGAGTTACGGAAGTCACACATACAGCGATAACAACTTTGATAACACAACACAAATGTTTGAATACAAGAACAATCCCCAGATGATAGTACCCACATTAAATTTAAGAACATTTGCAAGGTACCGTTAAACAATAATTATTCTTTGGCACTAATTTTCGTGGTTTTCGTGTATAGATTAATCCAGTTTTAAGGTTCAACGAAATATCTTTTTTTCTGCTTAATCATTTTAAGAACCAACAAAAATGTACTTTTTGACAAAAACACGAAATTTCATAACCACGGAACTGAATTAATTGACGGTATTGCTGTAACCGTTTTAGACAAGTTCAGCTACTTCATTAGTTTATCACTTATACAAATGTCTTCCAGGATCATTGATTCCAATATGTATTAGTGTACTTCTTAAGCCCGTGCTATGGGGCATGGAAGATGTTGGAGTTTTATTAATCAGATTCAACTTAGTCTCAATTTTCAACTTTTTGTTGATTTTTAGCTCTACTTTTTTTTAAATAAAAGTTGAGGTATTGTTATAGTCGCGGCGGCGTTGCCGTTGGCCATGCCGTTGCCGTTGACGTTGCCGTCCGCAAACTTGTACCTGGATCATAACTTTTCTGCGTGTTTCTATTTATAGAATTTTCTATTTATAGAATTGCGTGTTTCTGTTTATAGAATTGCGTGTTTCTATTTATAGAATTGTCCTTTTATAGAATTGCATGTTTCTATTTATAGAATTGCGTGTTTCTATTTATAGAATTTTCTATTTATAGAATTTGCGTGTTTCAATTTATAGAATTGCGTGTTTCTATTTATAGAATTTTTTTATTTATAGAATTGCGTGTTTATGTTTATAGAATTGCGTGTTTCTATTTATAGAATTGCGTGTTTCAATTTATAGAATTGCGTTTTTCTATTTATAGAATTGCGTGTTTCTATTGATAGAATTTTCTATTTATAGAATTGCGTGTTTCTATTTATAGAATTTCGCGTTTCTATTTATAGAATTTTCTATTTATAGAAATGCGTGTTTCTATTTATAGAATTGCTTGTTTCTATTTATAGATTTTTTTATTTATAGAATTGCGTGTTTATGTTTATAGAATTGAGTGTTTCTATTTATAGAATTGCGTGTTTCTATTTATAGAATTGCGTGTTTCTATTCATAGAATTTTTTATTTGTAGAAATGCGTGTTTCTATTTATAGAATTACGTGTTTCTATTTATAGAATTGCGTGTTTCTATTTATAGAATTGCGTGTTTCTATTTATAGAATTGCTTGTTTCTATTTCAAGAAATTTTTATTTGTATAATTGCGTGTTTCCGATATAGAATTGCGTGTTTCTATTTATAGAATTTTCTATTTTAGAATTGCGTGATTCTATTTATAGAATTTTCTATTTATAGAGTTGCTTGTTTCTATTTATAGAATTGAGTGTTGCTATTTATGGAATTGCGTGTTTCTATTTATAGAATTTTCTATTAATAGATATGCTTGTTTCTATTTATAGAATTACGTGTTTCTATTTATAGAATTTTCTATTTAAGAATTGCGTGTTTCTATTTATAGAATTTTCTATTTATAGAATTGCGTGTTTTTATTTATAGAATTTTCTATTTATAGAATTGCGTGTTTCTATTTATAGAATTGCGTGTTTCTATTTATAGAATTGCGTGTTTCTATTTATATTTATATAAATGAGTTTATTTATATATACAAAATATGAAGGCAAATCTAATGTGACAAGACAGACCGATTAAATTTATAAAAAGGAAACGTTAAGGTTTGTTCAAACATTTCCCGCCAGGCCTAGGCTCTTGTTTATTAATCAGATTTAACTTAGTCTGCAGTTTGAACTTGTATTAATCAGATTTAACTTAGTCTGCAGTTTCAACATTTTATTTCTTTTTTTCTTATTTATACTGTGTGTATTTGTGATACAAATTGTATACACATATGCCTTTGTATTGCATACGCTGATGTTTGATTTTTCAGTATCAGTACATGTACTTGATTTCTTGTAAAGTTTAGTATTGGTTACTTCCACCATGGCTTTATTTTGTATATGAAAATGTCTTGTACTAGCTATGTGGCCTAACTTTAGTAAGGTGCTCCTGTTAACACAGATGGACTCATTATGAGTGCTCCATTTACCGTTGCAGTTAGATATATTTGGCATTGTAAGGTAACATGTTTGAAAATAATCATTTTCCTGTTATGCAACTATGCCAGTAATATGGAAGTATTTGTTCAGTTTATCTAATTTCCAGATTTTTAGATGTGTGTTTGACAGTTTTAATACTTACAGTTTTTTAGTTATTCAATTATATACCTGCTCATTAAAATGTTTCTCTTTGGCTTGATAGTGGGGGTTGCATCATTCAAGTTGGAGGTGACAATCTTGACAGTGTTCCGTATCCAAAGTTGCGACTTTATCTAGATGGTGGCAAGGAGATTCAATCGGTAGGTGATTTACTTACCTTAGTTTTTTATATAGGAATTGTGAATTCCCATCAAACAACCGTTAAATGTGTAGAAAATAACTTACGTGAAATCTCTATGTATGTAAAATAGACAATAATCAAATATGCAAGATCAGTGAAATGAACGTGCATGGAACCTTGGATAATATTCATTATTTCATCTTTATAGATTCTTCCTTAAGTGATCCCTATTCAGACACAAAATCGTGAGCTACTTTTTATCAAATCATTTTCGTTAGAAATGTGAACAGTGTTTTTTAAATACATTCTCTCTCCGTGAATCATTATTAGGTTTGTTGGGAATCTTGATTAGGCCTAATGATGTTAATTATTGACTGTGTTTCTTTTAATATCTCTAGCCGTGTGTGGCAACAAAAAAGACATTAAAGTGTCCGACTCCTACTATCGATATAGATGATAAAGATAGGAATGTCTCGTATGGATTTTGGCTGGACGGATTAATGTTATACGAGAACGTCACTGACAGACAGGGCTCTGAATTGGAAGTAGTAAAGGACCCTTCTATTTACACCAACATGTCGGAAACCTTCCGGAATACGTTTGATAATATATTCAAAGTAAAGGTATAGTGCTTTTAACATTCCGAAATGACATATCATTTTACTTAGTTACATGTATTTTGAATAACCATTTTTTGTTCAAATTTCTGAAACAAGAAACCAAGTTAGCAGCTTTTCGTAGCAAGTTTATTTCTACAAATGTGCAATAACATGATATTTTAACGACAGTTTGTTTGAATAAATAAAAAATTATGGGATTTTAATACCTTTGTCGAGCTGGTTCAATTTTAAACCATGTTTATTATTATGAAAGATAAAGTAATAAGCATTTATCAGATTTTCAAATGCTTCATTTCATTATTTTATCCTCCTACAAAATAAAAAATAAAACAAACAACAACAACAAAAATAAAACTTGTATTGTATATATGAAACCATCTAATTAGTATAAAAAATGTTTTATCCTTGTACTGTAGAGAGTACGTGATAAATAATAAATTAAACGAGACTTACCTGGAAGTTGAAGTTCAATTATTATTCTACTGGACCACAGGGTTTAATGAGATGAACATATTATCTTATCAGATGACCAAGCAGACTTTCAGAGCATACATAATTATGCAAAATGCGACATTGGCTTATACTTATGGGAGGGGTAACCGGGTGGGCATTAAACCCTCTTGTCCAGTAGCAGGAGAATAATAATTGAACTTCAACTTCCAGGTAAGTCTCTTTAATTTATTAATTCTACTGCACTGGACCACCTAGGGTTGATGAGATTTTAGAGACCATGCTCCCATTTTGATAAGTCGTTAAAACTTCATAACAAAGTACAATGATTACGCTTTTAATCTACGACTATTAACTTTTCAAAAACTCAAAATATAATGCACAAAAGAAAGTATGCAATAGCCATATACATAAAATGATGTAAAAGTAACAATCATTATAAAAAAAAAATACTATTCCCTTTTTCTACTGTGCGGAAAAGGTCATTAGGCTTGACCCCTGCTGCAATGTTATACATTGCATAATTGATATTGCATATTGTAAACAGAAAATTGCAAACAAGTTTGACATTAAATGGTATACACATACGTGTAGCATAAATTCTTTCACATGTAGTGATATTACTTAACCTTATTACTAAATTATTAAAGCAATTGACATTCCCTCTGATTCTCAAATGAAAAATTGAGAAAAGTAATTGTGTAGATAAGTGATCAACGATATTCTATTCGATGTTTCTATGGTTTTAAAACAACACATTTATGCTTTTAATTATAATTACTTTAGGCATGATTTCTGATATCTTGCAAAATCAGTGTTTTGAAATTACTGATCTGCGGTTAAAGGCCCATTAAGCCTAAATCTGCCATTATTCGTTTATATTATTTACATTTTCTGTACATTCAGTGCTATTTACTTCAGATTAAAAAGATATTATAAGCAAATCACATGTTTTTGATGCATTATGACAACTGTTACAGTATAAATGCATTTTTTTAATGGAAATTGTGTTTATTTCTGAGGCTTAATCTGTTTCTTTAAAAGAAATAGGTATCACGGGTTTCCATCACAACTATCTAATAAGAATAGAATACCAGAAAACCACATATGACTTGTGTTTTAAAAAAAACAACTTTCAAACTTCTATCTCGCAATTATATAATGCGAATGACGTATATATGTAAAGAACTCTCATTACATGTTTTCTTCAATAAACACATGTATATTATTTTCAAAATCAGCCCTGTATTGCAGTTACAGACTGTTTTGCAGTACATATTTCTATGGTTCACGTTTTCCATTCCACTCGATACAGGATAGAATATAATGAAACAAGCAAATGAATTAGTTCATATTTCCTATTAATTATTATTATTATTATTATTATTATTATTATTATTTGTTCGGAATCAATCAATCAATTAAATGGTTAATTAAGTCATCAAATGATTTATTTATTTCAAAAACGATAATGAAAACTACCAAAACAAATGGCTGCATCTCTTATCACCACTTACTTATTCAGTTGTTTGAAAAAAAACTTCTATGACCATGCCATTTGGTAGAATAATCTGCTTTCCCCGGGTAATGTAGGGGCAATGACAAGTACGGTACCACATCTACATATAATGATAAATACATTATTAATTTATCTGGCATTTCTTTTTCAAATTTTATAACATTTCTAAATTCTAGTTTACTACTTATCATGCTATCTACAAATATAAATACGCTCATCAACAGTAGAAATGTTTCATAAACTAAATAGCAGCTTTCATTATATAATTAATATTTTAATTGAAACTTGTTGTTTTATGCAGTACTTTTTTAATCAAAATTTTGATGACACTTTGACAGCCCTAGCACAATCAGGATTTTGTATGCTTATTGTTGTTATAGGTCCGACACAAATCCCTCTCTGAGTGATTTATAGTGCCATGGATCATAACACAGTGAAGGTTAATTAGCAACCCCTCCTTGCAAACAAACACATCAAATTAAGACATATGTTTGACCTACAAACCAGGCACGGCTATTAATACCTGCTGTTTTCCCAGTGATAAGTCTGATGATAAACCCTAACAAAAACAATTCTCTGAGAGGGTCCAGTGAGAGATTTATCTGAAGATGTAGTACATGTATACAGTAAAACACAAATTATCCGCCTTATCTAAACCATCTAAACCTGCACATTGCAGCTTTGTATAAACTATCATTATTGTAATGAATGGTAAAACATTGGTCCAACAGTGAAAGATAAGCTTCAAGTGGCAAATGCAAATGATTACCTAGATTTTTTTAATTATCTTTTTTCATCTTATTAGTTTATTAATTTCAATATATGCGAACTACATCAAACATGTATTTATTTATGCATTTAGCTATCTCTATATACACCTTTCATTCGAAGAAAATTCTGGAGTGATTAAATGTTTATTTTCTTCACTATAAACTTTTCATATCTCATTTTATGTTCTTCCATTTCGAATGACATGTCATTTTCTTAAAAATAAAAGCAAGTTCTTTACAATTGACATTGTCAGTGTACTTTACTTGAGATATACAGGTAAAGAATAAAATTCATTCATTATTCAATATAAATTTCATTATTGAATCGTCTCAAGCAGGTACCAATATTAAAGTTATCAACTTACACTGTTCAGGATATTTCGAAATGTTAAAAATTGTTGCCCCTGAGATTCTTACTTCACACTTTATACAACCAATGTTATATAATATGTGTTAACTTTCCGTAAGGAAAGTAACTATTCCTTTACAAGATCAGTTCCAAACGGTGCGTTTTCCCAAGAGCAAATTTCGGATTCACAGTTTTTGGCATTTCTATGCAAAAACTTGCTCCAGCATATTTGATCTTCCTTTATAACAAATTTGGAGTATTCAGGTTTTGACATTTCTATGCAAAACTTGCTCCAACATATTCCTTCTTATATGACAAATTTGGAGTACTCGCAGGTTTTGACATTTCTATGCAAAACTTGCTCCAACATATTCCATCTTATATAACAAATTTGGAGAACTCGGGTTTTGACATTTATTGCAACAATTGCTCTAGGGTATTCACTTTTTTATAGATAACTAATTTGGAGTACACAGTTTTGACATTTCTATCCAAAACTAGCTCGAGCATATTCCCTTTTATATCACAAATTTGGAGTACACAGTTCTTGACATTTCTAGGCAAAACTTACTCCAGAATATTCCTCTTATAAAATACCATTTTAGTGTGCAAATATAATCTCTACAGTACGCTTAAAACAGCAAAACTGAAAATGTTGCATGCTTGGTTTGAATGTGTCTCTTCAAGGATGAAACTGTAAAATGCAAGTTACTGTTCACCCGCCCAAAGCATCTGCTTAAACACTTGTTAAAGATATACTATGCTCATCTGAGAGTAAAATATTTTTATCCCAGAATTATTTGAAATCTATGTATTTCTTTCTTAATATGTCTAATTTTAATAAAAGAATGTACAAACTGTGTGATGGAAGCTGCATATCATATTACAGGTCAAGTAAAGTTGACCCTTTCTTAAAAAAACTGCCAGTTTTTTATTTTGTTTTTATTGACACTATATATTCTTATTGTGTCTACCTAAATTGTTTAGAGTTTAAAACATAAGATATCTTCTTAGTGTGTAGTCAAAACATGTTTATTTTATATTTAAAAAGAGACTGTGTAGCAATTATCAATATTTAAAGTGGCATTATGCTCATATTTTCATAGTCAAGTTGAGCTGAATTGACTTTCTATTTCAAAAGATTGACTATCAAAATGGTGTTCGACCAACAGTTGATTTTGGAAAATGTTTTGGATAAAATTATAAATCTGCCCAAAATTTAAAAAGACTGCCCCACTCTTTTTATAAACTAAGCGTTATAGGTAAATTCTTACAGATATGTACAGAAATTTCGTTTGGATCTGTGTGTTGTTTATTGTTTATGTGAACTTAATTATTAAATTAAAAAGAATTATGGCAAAATGAAAACTTATTTTGATCTTCACCCGTTCACTCACTATATACCCTTGGATGGGCATAATGTCACTTTAAAAATACAAAATTTGAGCATAATTTTTTATTATATCTTTAAATCAAATAATTGTTATTTTAACTTATCATACAGTTACCCAACTAAACACAATTGGTATCACAGAATTATTTATATTTCGTGAGCAAGAGCTGATATTTTCTTATATCAAGTAAAATTTAAGACTGTGAGATACTGCAGATCTTTTGACTTTTTTTTTCTTTTCTTTTTTGCATTTCACCCAACTTATCATGCCTTTTTATTTCCTCAGATTAGATGTAATTCTCTTTTAAAACAGCTTTGCAATGCCCCGTGTGTTACACACATTTCCACAACACTGTAGATCACCAATAGAATAAGAGTCTTATATATTATAATCTGTGACACCTGCATTTCTTTGGCCTAAGAAACATGAATTTAGAGTGTTCGTGGCTCAAGAAATTAAATTGTTAAATAGTATATTATTAATTTTTTGTCTTAATAACTTCAAGTTAAAGCAATATTGTCTTTGTTGTTGTAGTACGTAGTTGTTGTTGTAGCATAAAACTTGGAAGGTCACAACCAACCGTGTTGCAAGATGCCAATGCTTCATACTGTTGTCCATCATTCATTCCATGATGAGAAACAGATTTTCCTAATCGTGTTGCAGAATTAATATTGGACTTACTGTTCCGGCAAACTTTGACTTTCCAAATTCTGTTGGCAGAGTTATGTTTGGGATCTTACCGTACCGGCAAACTCTTGGAGTCGTCGCAGTATCCTCAGTAACTGGTTAATACGGCGACTGTTGGGCTTCTTTGAAAAAGTGAAGTTCCCTACTGGAACTGAACCATTTTGCCATTCTTGTAGCTATCCATGTGGAAAATATAAATGGATAATCAAATCAAAACAGATGTCAATTGTTATATCCAGAATATTGTCACTTTAAATCAAATTATGAACAAACGAATCCGGTATTTAATCCATTTTTAAAAAGTAATTATATTAATTCATTTAACAAGAATAATTGAATAAATCTCAATTCTAATAATAACACATAAACGCATAAATTAAGAGAAATTAACTGCGGCCACTTTTAATAATTCAAATAATAACACATAAACACATAAATTAAGAGAAATTAACTGCGGATACTTTTAGCGTTCTGCTTGGTCATCTGATAAGATAATATGTTCATCTCATTTACCCTAGGTGGTCCAGTGCAGTAGAATAGCAATATATCAGGGGTTATACAAAAGTAACTTTTATCCTGGCGAACTTTTTAACATTTACTTTTATCAGTTAGTACTTATACTATAAGGCGAACTTTCCAAAATTTATGTTTTATCCTTTAGTAATAATAAGACAAACTTCCCGTCCAATAAAGCGGCTTTTCAAAAATTTACTTTTATTCTAGGGCGAACTTTTCAAAAATTACGGTTATCCTTAAAAGCCGATAGTGCTAACCTTCTTAAATTACTTTTATCCTTAAGTGCCAATAAGGATAATTACAATTTACTTTTAGCAAGATTTATTAATAGATGCACCAAATAGAGGTCACCTGCTGAAATTTCATTTTAGTCTTAGCAGTAAAGAATATGTTATAAATGCAAAAAAATGAGATAAAAAGTGCATTAAATAAGACATTTCCTCACAGTTTACTTTTTAAGTTGAGTGGTAAGTACAAAGAATGCGGACTTTCTAAAATTTACGCGCCGCCTTTAGTGGTAATTATCGTCTATTAATACCAGTAAGAGTATTTTACGAATTTATTTTGACATTTAGAGGTATGCCTTTTAAAAGTGCTTTAAGTCAACTTCCTTTTTATCATTGGTTCAAAAACCACCCTTTCATTGTTTATAATACAAAGGCAATGTAAAGATTAATTGATGCATAAGGCATGGGTGGTTATTGACTGAGCACTGAATTACTGTTTCCTGTGTTTTTGTATATGAAGGGTGAGCGTTTGAATGATGCCTGTCGTGACAGCGACGACGTTTCTATTACTCTTGGACATAAAATTTGTGCTATTCTAACCCGTCATGACAACGTTATCAAGTGTGATCCAGGGGAAAGCTTCCCGGGTACAGCGAGATCCGTTAAAGTCAAGGTAAGAAATAAACTGTTGAGATAAAGGAAAACGTTTGTTAAAATTGCAAAAATTATTCTTGTTTTATTTATACATATTGTTGTTTCAATTTTATACTGTACATCGGAAGTATATTTTTTGAATTTCTGTAAAAAGCCAAAAGAAAAGACAAAATGTTTTACTGACACATAAATGTATGTGCATAGGAAGCTGCTTGTCATTCTTAATAACTTGTATTAAAATACAAATTTGTCGTAATCTTTCTGATTTTATGGCTTTGAAGTATAAATTCTACAACAAAAAGTTTCGTTTTTGAGTTTTGACAATATTTTGGTTGGTTAATTGATTTTTACGGCAACTTAAACACATTTCTGTTTATCTAAACAACTTTACTGAATATCTAACCAGTACGCAAGAAATAATCTACTTATCCGACATGATTTCTGAATCGGCGATGAGTTAAACAATGATCATTAGATAAAATGTCCGATATGTCAGGTAAAATTTTTGCCTCGTCCAAATCGAACCAACGAAACCTTGATTACAAAATGTCCGATTCTCTCCATATAGAGCTTAGCGGATGTACTGGTAAAGTTCTGCCGTTAATGAAAGGTGACGCCAAAAAGACATGTTACTCCTTTACGTTGATTTATGTTGCTGCCTTCATGGGAATGCTCTCATGAATGCACAATTCAAATACAAATACTGGCTAAACAGAGTGTACAATCAGCAGTTGTTTTCACCTTAAAACGGCAATTCTTTAGAAAGCAAGTTCAAATGGTTGATGTAATGAAAGCAAACACAACAAAGACATTCATAATAAACAAAATAAATGTATGTTATTTTAAAAGGTGAAGATAGGTAACACTACAGTGGTATGGGGTACACTAAAGATCAACTCGTTTTGGACCAACACTGAGTTTATCTGCATAGCCATTGGCGCGGGTGTGTTCCTTATTATCATCGTATTTTTCGGCTGCATTATCAAATGTCGTCGCAAAGGCAACAGTTATAGCCCTGACGACAGTATTCCGCTTGAAATGGGTGAGTCGTTTCCCTTTCAACGTTTGGTTAAGTGATATAATTCATATCTTTTTCTTACAGTGATGATTACAAACTCATTTATTCCTGTACTTATGAAGATGTAACCTGACTAGCAAATATAATATATAACATATATAATTACAAAAAGAAATTATTCTTTTTTTATTTTTCTTGATTTTTTTATTCAACTTTTAGTAAAATCAGTGTGAAAAAATGTGTTTTTTTAAACACAGGGACAACTGGTAAAACCAAACAAAAAATCTGTACAACAATAAATCCAATTGCTGTAATTCAACCTCAGTCAGCCGAGGTACATACAAAGACGTCGAAGGAAATTGCAGATGATTTTTGCAAGCGTTTATTACACCACGTTGAGAAAGTCGTGAACAGTTCTATAATAGAAAGAAGTAACATAGACCCTGGAAAAATATGCACGCACAAAGGTGAATGTGTGTTGTAACATTTTGTTCGTTATTGATATACTCAATGTACAATCAATTAATTAAGATTATGCCATAATTAAGCTGGAGGGAAGGCTTACAAAAATTGTTTCTATGCATTTTTTTTTGTAAATTGCTAAAATGTCAGGAATCTACTCGTGTGCCTGCTCGTGCCTTAAATAATGGACGTAGGCGCACCTCGGGTCTTCCTCCACAGTCTCCTTAACATTGCTTGGGCGACTTAAGACCCAACCTGTAAATTGTAAGAGGGGCTGAAAATCGATGTTTTGTATATATTCGAACGAACGGTTAGGGACATTTTAATTTCATGAATTCATCAATGTAATTCACCAATTCTCAATTTCAAGTTCATGAATTCACGATTGATTGAGTTGAAATCGTAAACTCGTGATGCTGAAATTGTAGAAACGTGAATTCATGAAGTTCAAATCGTGAAATCGTGAAGCGCATTTGATAACTTCATGTACAATGTAGTTAAAATATCCCCACCGGCCATTTGTACGTTTCACACTATTCAATTTACATAACCTCTATCACAACTTACAGAATTTGTTTGGGTTTGGTCTGACAACGTTCATTCTTGAAGTTAAAAGGTCACTACCAGTCTTTCATTTGAATGGTACGCAATTGTATTGTGCCGGTATTGTTCACAGCATAGAAAATGGAAGTCTAAGTGTAATACTTCTTCGTTTCTACCACAGGCAGAATGATTCAGAAAAAACATGTTTAAGAAAGTAGTTACGATGGTAATGATATAAATTTCCTTTAAAAGTAAAGATAAAAAATTTAAAATATAATGGAATATGATAGAATATGCAAGAAAAAATATCTGACAAAAAAAAATATCCGTCCCTCGGTCACCCGCCCTTGGGCGAAACTCGGCAAGCCTCGTAACCGCCCAATGGGCGGGTCACCTCGGGACGGATATTTCGATCCGAACCGCAAACTATGACAGATATTGTTTATAAGTAACTGGTCAGTGCAGTACTGATGGGGTCATTTACCTGTGGATGGTGATAACCTCAAATGGCAATAGAAAGTCTGTGAAAAACAGTTGTCGGGCAAAAGAAATCATAACAGTTGTCTAAAAGTCCGTCGACAATAGTGTCAGAAACAGAATGCAGTGTTTTGCTTCTACCGGTTTTTTAAGTCAAACAATAGTAATACATATTTGTCCGATAACCCTTAAAAACCCTTGCATGATTGGTTTTGATTTATCATTATTTTCAATTCATATGCAAGCAGCTTCATATTCATATTATTTACTGATTGTAAACAATTGTTAAGGGCTAAAATGTAACTGAGAAATAGATTTAAATCAAAACACGTTCTGTAGAAAACATATTTTGCACTGTCTACACCGATGGTCAGTTTTTCCTTCTGCATTTCCAGGAAAGAAGATACAAAATGCTCTGTTTTTCTTCTATCGTTTTTTAAGTCAAACAATAGTAATACATATTTGTCTGATAACCCTTAAAAAACCTTGCATGATTGGTTTTGATTTATCATTATTTTCAATTCATATGCAAGCAGCTTCATATTCATGTTATTTACTGATTGTAAACAATTGTTAAGGGCTAAAATATAACTGAGAAATAGATTTAAATATAAACACGTTCTATGATTCTCAGTATTTGTTTTGTGTTACTTACTTAATGATGGCACATTTGCGTTCAGTGTTCTGTAGAAAACATATTTTGCACTGTCTTCCGATGGTCAGTTTTTTCCTTCTGTATTTCCAGGAAAGAAGATACGTGTTATAAGCGGACAGTACAATGCATCCACATCGTCACCATATTCTGGAGCCTTACAATCAAAACTTTAATTGATAGATATCCAGGTAGTGTATACAATATACAAGAACAAGGTGAAAAATAATCCCATTTTCGATCCATGACTTTGTTTCGTACGAGGTTTTGGTTTTCTTTTACTGAAATGCCTTTAATTACTTACAAGAACTTACGATGATTGTAGTAGATGAATGCTATTTTTCACCAGCAGCCTATAAATTCTTTCATATGAAAGATTAATTTTATCTGACCGTTTTCGGTTGCAATATACCTCACTAAGGTCGTACCTATCCCAGTACCACACCTTGTCTAATTTATTTTTAAATTATTATGACGGAATCATTTAATTAAAACAATTTGTCGTCATGTAGCTTGTTCAATTAATCTATACACCGATGTGGAAAGCTTTTACAGTTTAATTTATATTTTAGAATAAATTGAACACCGTGATTAACATGTACAATGTATATACATTTTTTTAATTGGGCATTGAAGAGAAAGGCGATCTGCCAGAATGGCTGAATACTGGTTTACTCGAGTGCACCAGGCTTCAAGATTTTGCCAATGACAATGTCCTTAGAATGAAGGGAATCGCGATTGATACAAAAAATTTCTACATTATTTATCCGGCAATGGCGAACAAGACTCTTAAAGATTACCTGATTTCAGAGGTAATATCACTTATGTATCAAGTATTTTCATTTGTATATGGACAGGCATTTCATCCCATGCAAGAAACATGAGTATTTAGATTCATGAAAAAAAATCTGAATTATTCAGTTCGTCTGCTTTCTTAGAACTTTGTAGTAAAAAATACTTAATTTATAAAATGTCAATTGAGAATCGAAATATAATGGCGTTTAACATATTGATAAGTCTTTAAATCTTCTGTGCGTGCATAACGTAGGTTTTGTTTTTTACATATCTGGTAATAAATTTCTTTTATTGTCTGTTTCCTTTCTAGCCGCTGAATGCAGAAAAGAAGTTGGAGATATGTATTCGTGTCTGTGAGGGCATGAACTATCTGAGTTCACAAAGCATTGTACATAAAGACCTTGCTGCGAGAAATTGCTGGTATAAAGTTATTTAGTTAACGTTTAACGAAACAATGTTGTATGCTGAAAACATCATCTGCTGAATTTTTTATTTGGAAACTAACGGAAATAACTGATGCGTCAAACAGTTTGGTACCTGGCATGACGACAAGGTACTCGCCGTCTGGCCGGGTACGAAACTGTTTGATATTCATTAAGCAAAATAGTTGGCCAGACTGTTATGAACGTGTACTTGAAATGTTGGGTATTCATGTATAAGTCAAACACGATAACGTTTACATTAATCGGTCGTACCAATACGACATAATGGGTTGTGCAAGTTATTCAGTTATTACATTTTGCATTTTTATTGGTATAAAGAAAATAAAAGTGAGTATGGACACGTAAATCCGAATAGCGTAGTGGTAAGAGAGTTCAGAAAATAAAGAGTTCATGTTACGAAAAAATCATTTATTTTTCGAGGTTAAATCTGCAATTGTGCAATATTTTTTATGTCTGTATGTTTTTTCTTCTTTCAGAAACATTTTCACATTCTCTATAATAAGCCTATAGTTTATTTAATATTTTGTACAATTTAAAGTTAAACATATAACTGAATGTATTTGATTTTAACAGTCATTGAATAGATTGAATAGTATTGTCAATTTAATTATGTTTAAAACTCTCAATTCAATTTGCTACATTTTTTTGACAATTTCGGATCATTTTGTAATCTTATATTTTTAATTTTCTTCCATTCCTCATTTATCACTATAATCGCGACTGTTTTTATTTTCAACTTAACCTGCTGAAAGTGAATGTATGTAAAACTAAATGTTCTCTAATATTATTGTGTGGAAGAAATTCACAAGGAACTAAAATATCTAAAAACTAAAATTATCTAAGAACACTGACGAAACCAACACCTAACCACTGAGCTATTACGCCGAACAGATAAAATATGAGTAATTGTCTAGGTGATTAAACATTTAGGCCATTTATATAAGAATTATCGATGCCACTTTTTTTAAACAGAGAGAGAATCAAACAATAGGAATGCTGCTGGGTGTGACATCTGTTGTTGACGTGATTAGAACGTTTAACTGCAGTCGCAACACGTTTTATAAACTTGTAAGACGCTTTTGACTTACAGGTGATATGCACGATCTTCCAATGCCAGGTGGGCCATGGGCAACTACCCAAAGGAACGACCGTGCAATTGTTTAAACTCACTTACGTGACAGGTTCAGTACGGCGACATTGACCGCGCCCGCGTTTAACGTAACTGCACAAACCATTCGCAATCGATTGCGCGCACAACAACGCCCGATTAGAGCGCGACGCCCATATAGGCGGTATTCTCACTTTATGCCATCGTCAGGCCCTTATTAGGTGGGCACGTGCGCACCGTCACTGGCGGCGACGTGACTGGAACACTGTCCTGTTGTTACAATCTCAGTCATGCCGACAGCCGTGTAAGAATTTACCGTCAAAAGGGCGAAAGGTTTGCACCTGTCTGTGTTAGACAGCATGATCGTTTGGGTGGACAAAAGACCCGGCTTATTATTATACACGGCAACTTAAACGCACAGAGATACATCAACGAAGTCTTCAATGCCGAGGCTATTCCGTTTATGCTAAGAAACGGTCCCGTTGTGTTTCAACAAGACAACGCCCGTCCTGACATGGCGCTTGCTTAGCTGCAGCCAACGTCAATACCATGCAATGAATAGCAATCTCTCCAGATATGAATCCGATAGAGCATATCTGGGATGTGCTTGACAGAAATGTTCGACAACATCACGCGCCACAGAATATCCTCCAACTGACAAATGCATTGATAGCGGCAAAATAAACTTGTCAACGTTTCGTCAATTCTTGGCGTCGTCGCGTTGACGCACTACTTAGAGCCAGAGGTGGCCACAACCGATATTGAATTAAATGAAAAAATTGCATGCATTTTAAAATTGTTAATGAAATGATTAAAACCTATCTGCACGTAGTCAAAACGTAAAAGCCACAAAATTGATAAATTGAATTTGACCCTTTCTTAAGAACAAGCGTAATTTAACAAACTTAAACATAATCAACCAAGGAAATATGAGTTTACGAGAAATACACGTCAACACCAGAGCAAGTTTACAATATTTTATTTGGGTCTACTAGTTTCGGTCATCTATATGACCTTCATCAGGACAATTTTAATAAAAATTTTGTTTGTTAAGGTGATAAAAAAAGCAACAAAATGCACATCAGTGTTGTGCATGCATCTCTTTCTCATGCCCATTATTCGTTTTTACATTTCCTTCATCGATTTCCTGAAAATGATAATAAAATATACACTGTCAAGTTTCTATTTTTGCTGAGTGTAGATGACACTAATATCTTCAACCATTGTTTTCTATTTTACATTTGAGATAATGTCTTTTTATTTTATATACATTATACACATTATTTTTTGTCTAATCTATACGTTTATTGTATATGTATTTATAAAACTTCCGTTGCCAAAGTAAAAAAACAACAACTTCCAAATAGTGTATTAATAATACAAAATTTAGCTTTAAAAATTGTAGCTTTCTTTTATTCGGCGTCTTTTCGATTGCATTTTACTCTCTAAAAAATGTTTTGAAAGAACCAATCATTTGTTCTTGTTACCAAATCACCTCTACGTATTTCTTTTAAAAACATTTCATGTTACAAAATTCTCCCGTTTACCCACTTAAGTATATTTCTGTAGACTTCAGTTAGGTTTTAAAAGCATTTTATTGTATTATTTAATTATATTTCTTTTTAATAAATGTAGGGTATCACGAGATTTTGAGGTGAAGATAAGTGATGCCTCGTTTAGCTACGATTTATACCCGGATGAATATTTACATAGCAACGGTCGCTATCAGCCAGTACGGTGGATGTCCCCGGAGAGTTTACGTCAAGGTTTCTATGACGCAAAATCTGATGTTGTAAGTGTGACCTTAGGTCAACTATAAGCCAGCTATTGTTTCTCCGTCATATATCAGATAAAACGTATAAAATCTTCAAATTATAAGCCAGCTATTTTTTCTCCGTCATATGTCAAATAAAACGTATGAAATCTTGAAACTATTAAATTACAAAAAGGCTTTGTATTGATTTAGAAACACTTTATTTCAAATGATACATGGTCTTGAGTTTTCATATGATTTTGAGGTAAGAGAAAATGATGTAGTCTACGACATTTTGGGACAACCCTCGTATATCAGATAAAATTTATGAAATCTTCTTTTTTACTAAAAAACGAAAACACTAGTTATTATATCGTTTTAGTAGAATCCACTTACAATTTTATTTGCATAAAATTAAAAGCATGTATACCAGAAGATCGAGTAATGATGAGTTGAAAAATGCAGTACTAATATTTGGTATATTTTCTTTGAAAGTCATCTAAAAAAAACTGTATGTGCTTTAATCAAAAAATGAATTACGTTTGCGTATGTATTCTAACTTTGTTGTGATTTTTTGTTGTTGTTTTTAATACATGTATTGTACATCAAAATACATCACGGCTTTTTTCTTCAAATAACACATGTTTGATTATATATAATATTACAAAAAATTGTAAATTTGGCAGACATTTACGTTGTTGTTTTTTTCTATTGGGCTTTAATAAAAAAAAAGAATTACGTTTGCGTATGTATTCTAACTTTGTTGTGATTTTTTGTTGTTGTTTTTGATAAATGTATGGTACATCAAAATACATCACGACTTTTTCTTCAAATAACACACGTTTAATTATATATAACATTACAAAAAATGTATATTTGGCAAAAAATTTACGTTGTTGTTTTTTCTAGTGGACCTACGGGGTTGTCATTTGGGAAGTTTTTGCTAATGGATTCCTGCCGTACTATGACATCACCGACAATGCGATGATAAAAAGCAAAGTGTGTGACGAGCACTGCAGACTTGGTAAACCTGAGGATTGCGATGAAGCCGTGTGAGTATTTCACCGAACTGACCTGCTAGTACTTCTTGTGCAAATATTCTGAAAAAGCATGTTTTTCAGTATAAAACATGAAATACATGTATTTACATATAAATGTCCCATTTCGCTAGTTATAAGTTTATAACAGTTATGAAATGTTACAATCATATTCTTTTTAACTCTGGTTAACATCACGAGGTATTATCTAAATCCGAACACAATTAAGGCCATATGGCGCCGAAACCAAATCCGAGTCAAACATTTTCCCATGAGTTTCTCTCTTTAATCACTACATTTGTATGTTTTAGTAAACAGAAATAAATATTTTGTGATAAATGAGGGTTGAACTTTACTACTTTTAGAAGCTATGCTCTATTGATCAGAATCTGTAATAATTAAGTTAAAAAAAAGAACATTTCACTTTTCAATATTTTTAGGTTTCAAATTATATGCGATTGCCAAAAAGACAAATTGGAGGATCGTCCAAACTTCTTCATTATTCAAAACATGTTCGACCATATTCTTAATCCTGGTGCCTCATTGGTCCAATACGCAAATCAACAAGAATTGGCCGGACACGAGACAGGAATGGAAGATTATGAGAATCTTAGCATAGTCCCTCCTCCACGACCACCAAAAGGTCATAGACCATAAAAGTGATATTCGAGATCTGAATAAATATTAACCCAAAGATGTTTTAATATTATTTGTTAACATTCTTTGCACGTGGAATCTCTGTGATATTATATGAATTATTATTGAAGAATATTCTAGTTCTACTGTACAAGCAATAAACGTGTGTATATTAAGAAAATGAAGAATTTGGGAATTATAAGAAAATACGTTCTGTAAGCGCACATGGTTTATGACGACTGTTCCGTAAGCGCGCCTGGTTTAGGACGGGCGTGTCGTTAGTGCTTCTGATTGAGGGCGGCATTCCGTGAATGCCTGTCACGCAGATCTGCACTTTGACCCATAAGTCCGCCCATATTCCAAATAGTGCCCATCCTTTTTTTAATTATTGTGTTAAATAAGCTTGCATACAGTTAAACAAGTATTTATACTTCTTTATAAATCAATGGTGACCAAGATGACCATTTGGAAGCCTTTTTTCAAACAAAATTTAAAAAAAAGAGACACAACTTTTAGACTTGCAAGAAATGCGAATACCTCTGTTTGTGTCATTATTTAGTCATTTACTTCAAAATTCGTTTAACGAAAACATGTGAAACTCAGGTATCATGAGGTATGTAGTTGTGTCGTCTGCAATTAACCTACATAATTTCTTAAATGGACTTGCCCCTCCTTCATTTTTGGAACAGTCTTTTACCAAATTAGGGGAACACTAGATGAATTTCGAAAGACTGCACGAGTCTGCAGGCTAACCTGGGCCCTATACTGGTGGTAAATTATTTATTATTTTCAGTTCCAGCTAGTTGAGGGTAATCGTTAGAAAACTTTATCAGATGTATTGCAACTAACATGTTATTTCAGATTTATCCAATGCACTGTTTTCTGACACATATTGTATATATTTATTTCATGATTATTAGATGTTTTAAATCCCTTTGTGTAAAATAATTCGGATAGACTAATTCGTATTTAGCATTTTAGAATATGTATTATAATTTTTGATATATAGTATTCTTTTTATTAAAACAACTGCTTTCACAAATTTTGTATATATTTGTTAACAATAAAAAATGATAAATTCGCAGTTACTTATTTTATTCCAACCAGGCCTTTGTTTGCAAAAGTATCCTTTGCGCTTGTGCATATATGTTTTGTTTTATCCACGCTATAGGAATAAACCGAAAGGAGGGCGTATTTCTAAGGGAGCCCTAACTAGGGGAAATTCTTTCGCTTGTGTGTTTATGTGTGCATCATAATTTAGAATAAGATGGGAAAATATCATACAGGCACTAAGTAACTACCTAAGATTTAACTGTACTTGAATATAGAATACATGTAGTTTCAAAAAAATAAATACATTTATGGCACTAAAATAAAGGAAGGGTTTTACTACATTAAGCATTCTATAGATTATAAAGAACTAATCAAAAACAATATATAACACCTAAACTTAATTCAAAGCATGCAGGAATAGACAATACATTTCTTTCACTAGGGCCAATCATTGATTTTGACTGTGTTATTCATGTGGATGGGACAGGCTTAGGGTAGTGATACTGGTAATGGTAATGCAGTAGGAACGCATTACTTTTCCTCTCAGCAATGTCATGATACTGCATGCCAATTTGCATTACTTGTAATGGTATTGTAATGCAAAATTCATGTAATGTTCATTTCTATGCATTACTTTGAATTACTTCACCAAACCTACTGCGTAGGCTAATCTGATGGAAATCCCTTTAATTCTATACAATCTGAGACATAGATAAATGGTATCTACGTCTCTGGTACAATAATGATAGGTCAAAGAAGAAAATTTTATAAAGAAAGTCAATTTTAATGAGTTCTTTTGATGAATTACAAATGTTCAAGTCTTTACCATATCATAATACATTTGTAAATGCTTTTTCTTTCAAACTGTATTGCACTGCGCAATCATCCTCCAAACAATAACGCCATTTAGTCACTTTATATAAATTTACATAATAATGATATCATTTTAAAAGAGCTTGAAGTAAGCAGTGGGAACAAAAAAATATTACAAACAAAAAAAAATTGGATAGGGACTCTGACAAAAACGAGCGTTTCGTATCGATGCAACAATGCAGGTGAGCAGTAAATGTGGTGGTGGTAACCGCCTACTGATATGCTATATATTCAATTCAATTCAATATATTTATTGCACCAAACATGTAACATATTAATAGCAAACAATACATGAAATACAGTGGAAATGTATGGGTTTTACTTATGTTTATACAATAGTTATTGTCTAATGGTTTTCTGAAGAGCTTATTAATATTAAAGAATGTTTGTTAGTTTCTCAGTAGATTAGCATAATATATAAATTTACATAGATTCTGAATAATTTCGGTTAGTTTCACTTAACAAGTTTTTGAATTTTTGTAAGGTAGGCCAGGTATAATAATAATAAGTTTGTTTTCGTAATTGTTTTTTTCAGTTTAATAGGTGAGCTGGTTTTGTTTTTTGTGTATTATGGTTTTATACTTTTAAGTATGAGGTTGGTTTGCTCTCCATGGAAACTACAATAATTATGTCGTATGGTCCTTTTCCGATGTATGAATGGTCGTTTATGCCTGTAAGGACATAAACATACGCCTTGATAAATAAATAAATAAATAAGACAAACAATTTCTGGCGCAAACCAAGGAAATATTTATACCAAAGTGCATATAAATACAGATCCGAAATACATAAACGATCAATGGAAATATGCATGATAATGAAACATAATGAATAACAACAATTACCTGTAAGGACATAAAACATACGCCTTGATAAATAAATAAATAAACAAGACAACAATTTCTGGCGCAAACCAATAGAAATATTTATACCAAAGTGCGCATGCGTGAGGTGGATTTTCCGGGAAGTTTGTAAAAACTGAGGCCCGGCATGCAAATTATGTCAGAATGAAATATGAGAAATTAGTTGTTATAATAAGATGATGAAATGGAATGATATAGGAATGATATGGGATAATGGATTGTATATCGGACTGTAAACAGACAAATACAAAGATATATATACAAATACAAGGACAAAATGATACATAAAAACGATATTCAAAAACACGAATATCGACCACATGACATACTTCCCCACTTTGGGGAATGTCGCCCCGACATTCATAAAATATTAAAGAGGAAGAGCTTGAATAAGACATTGCAAGTAGTAAGCTTAGACCATAAAGTAACTAAACTACTAGGTACTACATAACTAAATCTAAATACTGAAGGCAATTACAACCTGTGAGTAAATATATAATACCCGGGCAAAATACCTTAAACTCAAGCATGTTCCACAAAAATACCGTATGCCGCGAATCGCGAAAAATATATGTCACGCGGAAACAAAATTTTAATTTATCAGTAGAACTGTGAATTCATTGAAGAGGTGCACTCTCAACAATAAATCCTTTATTTTTAAAGTACTGTAAAGTACATTTATAAATTATCAAGGTAAAATATATGGTACATGGTATAAAACATAAAACGAAACACATCAGGTACTGAACAACGCCTAACTTCAAAGTTGAGACACACCTATACTATAAAGAAAAGAAAAAGCATTAATCTAATTTCCAGTTATCATTTAGCATCCATCCGGGTTTCTTTCTAGTACGTTTCTGTCTCTGTAAATTGTTGTTGTTGTCCTTAGATGGATTTCTCAGTGCAGGAATGACATATTTTGAACCTGTAATAGAATGAGATGTTTTATTTGGAACAGAATAAGAAGTTTGAGTTGTTGACGTGGCATCTTGTTTGCTGTTTGTTGTTCCTGAAAAAGAAGTTGACATACAATTGTTAGAATCATGTATTGTGGAAGAATCGCTATGTGAAAGATTTGATGGACTTGATGTAAGTGAGGTATTGGAATCTAATGGAGCTGTAATAGAAATATCAGAGGAGGGATTGGAGAACGAGTTCTGATCCGAATGTAAGTCAGAGGAAGCGGGCTTGTATAAGGACTCAGTTGTTTTGCACAAAGGCATCCCCATAAAGGGAAGTAAAAGGTTCCTGTGCAAAACCCTGGACCTGTCCTTGCTGTTTTCCTTCTTCACCTCATAGATGGGAATTCCAGAGGTGGGCTGGCTGAGAATGGTATAGACATCTTTCTCCCATCTATCGGCAAGTTTGGATTTTCCCCGAACACCTACATTTCGGACCAGTACTCGATCCCCGGGCTTCAATTCCGCTTCTCTCACACGGAGGTCATAGTACCTTTTATGTTTCTTGCCTTGTTTCTTGGCCTCTCGGAGTGCAACAGAATATGCAAATTTTAGTCTGTTCTGGAGACCGGAGACGTAAGAATGGTCCTTGACAGGAGATTTGTCTGGTTCGATGCCAAGAAACGCATCAATGGCAAGCCTAGGGTGGCGACCAAACATGAGAAAGTGGGGAGAATAACCAGTAGAAGAATGGGGAGTAGAGTTATAGGCATGGACAAGAGCGGGAACATGAGACTTCCAATTGACCTTCTTGTCGTCTTCCAGGGTCCCCAACATATTCAAGAGGGTTTCATTAAAGCGCTCAGGCATCCCATTTCCCTGTGGATGATACGGAGTAGTCCGGGTCTTGTCAATATTGGCCAACTTGCACAACTCCCGGATAACTTCGCTTTCAAAATTTCGTCCTTGATCACTATGGAACCGACTAGGAAAACCATAGTGACAAACAAAATTTTCAAAGAGAAGTTTAGCGGTAGTATGTGCAGTTTGGTTCTTGGCAGGGATAGCCTGAGCAAAACGAGTGAAGTGATCGGTAATGATCAAGATGATTTTTCATAACCACCCCGAGACATCTCCAGAGAAAGAAAATCCATACAGACAATTTCCATTGGATAACTCGACTGAATAGGATTTAACTTAGCAGTCGTTTTATCCAATGACTTTCTCCGGATACATCTGGGGCAGTTTTCGAACCCTGTGTTCGATATACTGTTCTAACTGAGGCCAAAAGAAACGTGAACGGAACAAGGAAATCGTTCTTGTACAACCTTGATGTCCTGCCTCATCATGCAAACCCTGGAAAGCTAAATCAAGCATATGTTCAGGGAGAACAAGCTGAGTAACAGGATAACCATTTGAAGTACCTTTACGGTAAAGAATTGAATCCTTAAAGTAAAGGTTGCTCCATTCCTTCAGAAACGATCGAACCTTGGCCGTTTCATGTGACTTTTGGCGTTCAGTTAACCTATGACCAATTTCAAAGAGTTGAACTAAACGGGAAAGTGTTGGATCATCTTGCTGCTCCTTCTTCCAATCAATTGACTTAAGGCTGCTTCCGACTTCGATCTCGTCTCTGGGATTAAGAGAAAGAACAGTTTGGTTAAAAGAAATACATTCTACGGCTGGAAGTTGACCTGGACCTTCAGATTGAGAAAACAAAAGAGCCTTGACAGCATCTGAAAGGAGAATGTTAGAATCAGGAAGAGAAGAAGCTGAAGGAATTCTAGAAAGGGTATCGGCGTCGATGTTCTCTTTACCAGCTCTGTACCGCAAGTTGATGTCATACGCAGACAAGGAGGATAACCACCTGTGACTGGTAGCATCAAGCTTGGCAGATGAAAACACATAGGTAAGTGGGTTATTGTCTGTTCTAACTTCCACAGAATTACCATAGAGGTAATCATGGAACTTATCACAGACAGACCACTTAAGAGCCAAGAACTCTAGTTTGTGAGCAGGATAATGTCTTTCTCCCGCTCTCAAACCCCTACTGGCATAGGAAATAACATGCTCCTTACCATCAGCACCAACCTGGTAAAGAACCGCTCCCAAACCGCTAGTACTGGCATCAACATTAAGAATGAAAGGTTTATTGTAGTCAGCAAAAGCTAAGACTGGAGGAGAAGAAAGTTTATCTATCAAAGAACAAAAGGCATTTTGCTGATCTGGACCCCAATTGAAAGGAACTTTAGATTTTTTAGAAGAACTTTTGCAGGTGGGAATACCAATAAGAAGGTCATTTAAAGGTTTGGCGATATGTGCGTAGTCTTTAATGAATCTCCTGTAATAACCTGAAAAACCTAAAAAGCTACGCAACTCCTTAAGGCAA